ATAGTCCAGCAACCAAAAATATCCAGCCAACAGCGTCCTGTGGGCAGCGTCCTGTGACCACTGATGAAGGACTAGAGGATGACCAACACAAACTGTGCAGCAGCAGATGAGCTATCGTCTCTGACTTTACATCTACAAGGTGGACCAACAAGGTAGGAGTGTCTAATAGTGGACAGTGAGTGGACACAGTGTTTAAAAACTCCAGCAGCACTGCTGTGTCTGATCCACTCAGACCAGCGCAACACACACTAACACACCACCACCACGTCAGTGTTACTGCAGTGCTGAGAATGATCCACCACCCAAATAGTACCTGCTCTGTGAGGGTCCATGGGCGTCCTGACCACTGAAGAACAGGGTAAAAGGGGGCTAACAAAGTATGCAGAGAAACAGATGGACTACAGTCTGTAACTGTAGAACTACAAAGTGCACCTATATAGTAAGTGGAGCTGATAAAATGGACAATGAGCGTAGAAACAAGGAGGTGGTCATAATGTTATGTCTGATCCGTGTATATCCACTTCAGTTTTCCACACATTTCGACTTTGTAGTTACAAATATGAACAAAAAAGCATGTAAACAGAAATAAAGATATTTGGATAAAAATGAAATTGACACACTAGATTATAAAAATACAAATGTAAATATTACATAAGAATGAAGAAGAATGAAAAAATGCTCTCATACAAACTGCACCTGGTGTTAATATGAAAGACACTGGAAAGGTTTCAAGCAACAAGTAGCAATTACAGTGAAACTGAATGAGCTTCCTCAAGAGCCCAAGCAAAGACCTTAAACGTCTCTGTCAGTACAACCAGTTCACTGATACGCAATCAGGAAAGTTCATGGAACCACAATAAACTGTCCTTGGACAGGTGTGCCAAACGAGATTTCTGTCAGGCTAATGATAAGGAAGGTAAGAGAGAAGCAGGCAACTCAAAAAAGGTTGCAGGATGACCTGAAAGAACAGGAACAACATTCACTCTGAGAATCAATGAACTGCACTGCAAAAGAGGCACCGAGATGCACATCTAAGTGTTTAGACAGCTTCAGAAACCTCTTTTGGAACTATGTTCTCTGCTCTGATGACACAAAAATGGAAATCTTTGGCAATAATTCAGCTCGTCATGTTTGCGGAAAGAAAGTCCCAAGAACACCACAGCAACAGTGAAGCATGAGGGTGGGAGCTCCATGATAAGAGGCTGCTTCACTGCAGACAATACTGGGGCATTTTGCATCATCGAAGAACCCATGAATGAATTTAATCTCATTGGCCACAAAACTAAATCGGAAATTGGAGAAAAATGCTTATTATGCTTTACCCATTTCATCTTTTTAGGTTTTTCTTGTGCTTAGTTTTATAATAACAATTGACCTTCCCCAGCTGACTGAGTGATGCCCTGTATTATATGTTCAGTTCTGACATTTATGACTCAAACTGAAAGGAGGAAAACACCTAAATGTAGTCGCTGTTGGACCAAAACTCGTCCAAAATGGTACCTTTTCAGGAGACGGAAAGAAAAAATATTCTAAACTTTTAATACAAGATTTTATCAAAATAATTTTGGACTACGCATAAAACTATTCAACTCCTTGAGACCACCAGTGGTTCCAAAATGCACTTCGTCATATTCTTCATAACGTTCATATTTCATAAGCTACATTCTAAAGGTGGGGGTCGTATGAGAGCTGTAACTGTCTTCTTTCCAGTCAAATAGATGGGTGATGTCATTTTAAACCCTTATAATAAAAGAAGCTGAACTCACAATTTGTTTTCTACTGAAAGTCGACCAATTTTTCCACAAATCTGGGCTATAAACTATAAACAGATGGCGTCTCTTCAGTGATCTGCTCTGTAAACATTATTTTTATAAAATAATACAAAGAGCGTCTAAGATTTTTGGCTTTCAGTAGTAAATTGTAAGCATAGAGCAATATGTGTATCATAAAACACATGTTCTGTTAATTTGAGGGGAGCTTTTACAAAAAAAAGAAATAAATAAATAACAAAAATTTACATTTATTTCATGCAGTTACTGAATAATTTGCCTTACAAGTTGGTCATGTAAATTCAGATGGACAAACCAAAATATACCTGGTCAATAAGAGGTTAAACGTCCACAAAAAGTAAAGGACAGCTGCTGAGCTCAAATGATAATAAAAAACTGAAGAAAAAAAAAGGGTTGCGAACCGATAACCAGGCTGGAATTCATCATTTTAAAGAAACGGAGCTGTAACTGCCCACAAGTCTGACACGTCTACACCCACATTTAAAAGGGTCAGTCCTCGTCACTCAAGAGCTTTGTGAGGCTCCCTCTCTTCACTCTCCAGGCAAGGAAAGCACACAGATTTGAACTGTTTTGTACTGAATATACTTCACTGTCCTTGACAGGACATTCGTCTTAGATGTAAACATGTTCGCAGTGTTTCATATCAGGTAATAAATTAGATGATCATACACTCCAAAACAACATCATAGCCTACGAAAGCCACAATATCCAACACAGGGCAGCCTCCTGGCCTCTGGTCACCCCACCCACCTCGATTTTGTCCAAGAAACCCCTTTTCACAGTGCCCCTGCCTTTTGTTGAGAGGAGGCCAAGCAGAGAGAGCAAGACTACAGGGAGAGACTATGAGTGTGAGTGAGGCCAATAAACAGCAATGCACACTGTGTGGATTGTGTGGACTATATTGCGATTATTGCCATATGTCCTGTAATTAAAAAGGCTGGCCTGCCTTAGTTTGACAAAAAGTTATTACATTTTCTGTATCACAAGAATTCATTAATCAAAATATCCAACAGAAACTCAGCTGGGATGTGTTGAGGTGGGTCCAGGATGGTTTTGAGGGCTTTCTATATTCACTATATGTCCAAAAACATCCAGACGCCCCTTCTAGTGAATTAGGCTAACCCATTGCTGAGGATCTCCAGAGGGGAACGAGGCTGGAAGCAGTGGAACTGTGTTCTCTGGAGTGATGGAGCTCCATCCAATACCTTTGGGATTGAGTTAGTGATCCAGAACTGACCATCCAACATCAGTACCTGACCTCACTAACACTCAATCAAATCCTCACAGCTATGTAAATAGAACCATGAACACTCAAAGACCTATTTGCATGCTTGAATGGTGAAATCATTCTTCATATTGAAGGAAAATGTGTTGTGTATGGTTCTATACAGCACCAAAAAGGGTTCTGCTATTGTTACAATGTCAAGCTCGTAACAATAGAAGAACATTTTGGTGCTATATAGAACCCTTTTCACAAATGTGCTATATAGAACCATATACAACACACTGTCTATACATCTGAAGAACCATTTCATCATGCAAAGAAATTTTTAAGCATTCAAGTGAGTCATTGAGTGTTTATGGTTCTATATAGAACCATTATCTTTACTAAAGAACCCTTGAAGAACCATCTTTTGTAAGTGTGTACATTAGCAGAAATGTTTTAAGAGGGGAAACTGTTCCTAATGAGAGTTTGTGAAAGGCCTGTAGATGAGTTAGAACTGACCACCCAACATCAGTACCTGACCTCACTAATGCTCAATCAGATCCTCACAGCAATGTTCCAACATCTAGTATAAAGCCCTGATGGTAGAATGGGCACTTGTTCTAGAACCATTTCATGCTTAAATTGTTGTTTGAATGGTAAAGTGGTTCTTAGATTGATGGAGAATGAGCATAGAACCTTTCTGAAAATGGTTCTATATAGCACCAAAAAGGTTTCTGCTGTTATTACAATGTCAAGCTTGTAACAATAGAAGAACATTTTGGTGCTAGATAGAACCATTTTCACAAATCATATACAACACAACGTCCATACATTTAAAGAACCATTTCATCATCAAAAACCCTTAAAGAACCATTTTTGTAAGTTTGTACAGCAGAAATGTTTTAAGAGGGGAAACTGAACCTAATAAGGCCTGTAGATGAGTTTGAACTGACCACTCAACATCCGTACCTGACCTCACTAATGCTCAATCAGATCCTCACAGCAATGTTCCAACAACTAGTATAAAGCCCTGATGGTTCTTCAAGATTTCTTGACCAAAGGCAATTGTTCTATTTCTATATAGAACCATTTCATGCTTAAATTGTTGTTTGAATGGTGAAATAGTTCTTCAGACTGATGGGGAATGAGTTGTATATCTGTACAGAACCTTTCTGAAAATGGTTCTATATACCACCAAAAAGGGTTCTGCTGTTGTTAGGATGTTAAGCTTCTACACAGAACCATTCGTCTTACTAAAGAACCACTGAAGAACCACCTTTTTTAGCGTCTTACTGCAGAAAAAAAGGAGACAAACGTCCTGTTTTCTAGCTAAGACTCTTATTTTCAGAAGAAACGCTGGATGAGTTAGACTGACCACCCAACATCAGTACCTGACCTCACCAACGCTCAATCAGATCCTCACAGCAATGTTCCAACAACTAGTATGAAGCCTTGATGGTAGAATAGGCAATTGTTCTATTTCTATATAGAACCATTTCATGCTTAAATTATTGTCTATCTATAGAAATAGAACAAGTGCCTATTCTACCATCAGGGCTTTATTCTAGATGTTGGAACATTGTTGTGAGGATCTGATTGAGCATTAGTGAGGTCAGGTACTGATGTTGGGTGGTCAGTCTAACTCATCTACAGGTAAAATGGTTCTTCAGATTGATGGAGAATGAGTTGTATATCTGTATATAACCTTTCTGAAAATGGTTCTATATAGCACCAAAAGGGGTTGTTAGGATGTCAAGCTTCTACACAGAACCATTTGTCTTACTAAAGAACCGTTGAAGAACCATCTTAAGTGTCTTACTGCAGAATAAAAGAGGACAAACCTCCTGTTATCCAGCTACGACCCTTGTTTTCAGAAGAAACGCTGGATAAGCAGGTGTTTACAAACTTTCCCACGCCCAGTCACCGACACTGATCCGCGACATCAATATCGCACAATCTAACACCGCGATAACAACGTAACCCACATTTTCGCCCAGCCTCACCTTCTTATCCCGAGTAGAAGCGCTTCCACAGGAAAGCTTCAGCGCCTCCCGAGCGATTTTAATCAACAACTTCCCATAGACTTCCTGCCCATCCTGGTTCTCCTCCTGCGGGAAAAGCTGCAACAGTCCGCGAGCTGTTTACTTTCCCACAGCCCGCGAGCTCTCTGTGGGTCCAAGCACCGGCTGCTCCACTCCTCCTCTTTCTTTCGAGGCTTTTACAGGCTGAATGAGTCTTCCCCTCCTCCTCTCCTCCTCCTCCTCCTCCGTCTCCTCCTCTCCCTCTCCTGCTGCTTAACACCGACAGCCCCGCCGCGTAAAGCCAGCCGTTTTCTGCTGGCCAATGGCGGAGCGCAGGGAAACTCTTTGTCCAATCACGTTAGAGCTCGGGGGCGGGACCTGAAAGGCTAAGCGAGGGGAAACAGACGACGAGGGAGGCGGAGAGAGAGACATAGAGAGAGAGAGGGAGAGAGAGAGACTGGCATGGCGACAGATTACGCCATCTCAAAGCTGTCCTGAGGGAGGGAATAAATAGAATTAGCTAACTGGGCGACTAAAGCCCTTCACTGATATCCCAAACTCCAGAGACTGTAACCTACCGAGCCCCTAAGAGGCCATGGTTAAAAAATAAATAAATAAATAAAAAGTGTGTGTGTGTGTATATATATATACACATACATATATATATATATATATATATAAGTATTAGTTCATGACATGGCGTTCCCACGCAATTGTTTTGCATTCCCTCGCTAAATATATGCTGTTTTCCCAGTTTGGCCAGTCTGTGCTGAGTTTTTTCAGCTGTTGTTCTCTGCAGTGTCTGTAAATGTAGCTTTAACTGTACGAGAAAACTCGACCTCAGTCTCAGTTTGAGTCACTAACAGCAGAATCATGTTTGATTTTGAGAAGCGGCTCTGTGTCTTTATATTTCAATCCAAGATCAATGTTAAATTCAATGAGCTGCTTTATGTCTGAGCTTAAGCAAAGCACGGCTTTTGCATCGTAACGCAAAACATTCGTGAAGGAACGCGATGTCATTAACTTCACCACGGCCCCTTAGGGGCTCCGTAGTAATCAAGTAACAAGGACATGAAAAGTGTAATTTAGACTCATGTTTGTAGGGAAAGAATCTGGAAGTTAATGTAATATTTATATTTGAGCATTAGCATTAGCATTCTCTGTTTTTTGTGCATCGTAACCAGAGAACTTGTAGAGAGGAGAATTATCAGAGCCGGTTTATGAGGAGCCTGGCCGCTTCCTGTTTCCCCCATTATATCAAAAACAGGACTGCAGAACAGCAGAGGGCGCCCGCGAGCGAGTCCTCAATGAATGGGAGTAAGTGGAGCTAAACGGCTAAAAACTAAATGTTAAAACAGTGTCTAACCACTCGCCCAGAACTTTCCTTTAGTTTTAGAAAGCAGAAGGATGGATTTCATGAAAAAGGAAAGAAAACTCACCTGTATGTTTCCTTTTTTTCTACAGCAAACGGGTTTTGGGCAGCAGAACACTGGCATTACTGCCACTGAGTGCTGATTGGTTGGCAAGTGGAGCAGCTCACTGGCTGTTCCCGCTCACAGATGTCATGGACATAGGTTTCAAACGCTAGAAGGCACTCACGAGCAAGTCCAAAAAGAATGGGTTAATATAAAACATTTTAACACTGCTGTTACATTTTTAAGAGCTTTTAAACTCGAGTTATAGGAGTTTAAAACAGCACGTTATGTACGTTCATGACGTAAGTGAGCGCGAACAGCCAATGAGCTGCTCCGCTTGCCAACCAATCAGCACTCAGTAGCAGTAATGTCAACCAATCAGCATTCAGTAGCAGTAATGCCAACCGATCAGCACTCTGTATCAGTACTGCCAACCAATCAGCACTCAGTAGCAGTAATGCCAACCAATCAGCACTCTGCAGCAGTAATGCCAACCGATCAGCACTCTGTATCAGTACTGCCAACCGATCAGCACTCAGTAGCAGTAATGCCAACCAACCAGCATTCAGTAGCAGTAATGTCAACTAATCAGCACTCTGTATCAGTACTGCCAACCAATCAGCACTCTGCAGCAGTAATGCCAACCGATCAGCACTCAGTAGCAGTAATGCCAACCAATCAGCACTCAGTAGCAGTAATGCCAACCAATCAGCACTCTGTATTAGTACTGCCAACCAATCAGCACTCTGCAGCAGTAATGCCAACCGATCAGCACTCAGTAGCAGTAATGTCAACCAATCAGCACTCAGTAGCAGTAATGCCAACCAATCAGCACTCTGTACCAGTAATGCCAACCAATCAGCACTCAGTATCAGTAATGCCAGCATTCTGCTGCATTTATATTTTATATTAGAATCTTTGACCAAGCAACGTATTTTGCAACTGTGGTCAACCCCTCAGGTGACATTGGTTATTCATTGGTTGTCCCAGGTAACAAAAGAGCTACAACTTCAGAAAATGTGTATGTTTTGGCAAATTTGGCAACTATTGATGTCTCACCTTCGGCTGCCTTTTTCTTTCTTAGTATGCCAGAGTAAAGAAAGTTATTCAGAGTGGTTTGACGTGAATTATAGAGAAACTACCATCTTTTTTCCTTTTTTACAGTGGTGGTGACAAGAACCAGGGGTCACAATGTCTACAGCACAAATATAGCCATTGCTTTCACTTTCTAAAAAAAACAGTGAATCTAGTCGTGTCTTCTGAGCATTTATATGTAATGTTAACATGGTAAAATAGTGGGAAATCTGAGGAAATACATTTTTGAGTACTATTTTTCCTTACCGCACCCAAAATGTACCTCTCAAAGTCAAGTCAAAGTCTATTTACATAGTGCTTTTTAAAACAGGTGTTGTCACAAAACAGCTTTACAGAAAAATCCGGGTCTGAGCCCCCATGAGCGTCGCCAGTGGCGACAGTGGCAAGGAAAAACTCCATAAGAGCAAGAGAAGAAACCTTGAGAGGAACCAAGACTCAAAAGGGGAACCCATCCTCCTGTGGTCGACACCGGATAGCAAACAGTGTTAGTACAAAGTATTATAGTACAAAACGGGGAAAAACAGGTGGAGCAATGGTTAATTAGATAGTTTGAGTTTATGCAGCAGCAGCAGGAGGGTCAGTTCATGCAGGTGAGGTTTGCACAGCGTTGTACAGCGAGAAGCTCAGTGGTGGTCGAACCGGTCCAGAAGGCTGGCGAGCAGTGGCACCTGATCAAGGCAGAAGAAGCAACAGCATCAGACGCACAGGATGGGCAGCTGATCAACTCGGCAATGAAAGGAAACACAGAGGGTCAATTCTGTAAAGAGTGACTGATCACAGATTACAGGGTTAACAGAGCAGCAGAGACTTAAGGTCTAGATATTACAGCCTCACTAAAAATGAGAAACCAGAAGTGTAACAGAGACATGAGGCTCCCTGAGATGTCGGCGCCCCTCCGCTCCACCGTCAACAAACCCGAGTGAGTGAGAGCAGCGGGACGACAGCACCAACACTCCCAGTTTACCATAATACTCTACGTCCATGAACCCCCAGATCTGCACCTTTTATCTAACAGGGAAAACTAATTACCAAAGGCTCGACTAAACAAGTGGGTTTTTAGCCTAGACTTAAAGACTGAGGCTGTGTCTGAGTCCCGAACACTGACTGGAAGATTATTCCAAAGCTGGGGGGCCAAAACTAATTCAGATATCAGACAGCGTATCTGTAAACATAGCCTTCAGTGAAGCAGCTTTCAGAGTGATTAAACTCTTCGGACGTCTGGTTCCCATCACCACCACTGTGAACAGTTCTGACTTCAAAAGTTTCTCTACAATGGAGTATTTCATATCACGCCACTCTGAATGTCTTCATTTACATCTTAATGCTTTGATAATTGCAACATCAAGTAACCTGCTTGGTGAAAATGTTCACAGCTGACACAGCGTTTTCTTATTGGAGAGAATTTATTAAAACACATTAAACAAATACACTCAGTACAAAGTAAAATGATGACGAATTCGCCTCTGTCCTGTTCGTTCTGTTATCTCAAAGAAAACAGCAACACTGCTTAGATTTGCGCTTTAGTCCATAGCTAGCCACCGGCGTTCCAAAGCGATCCAAAGACGTCGGACAGTGCATGCTGCGACGATGGGCCTTTGGCCACCGGAGCCTTTCGGCAGCTTTTGAAGCCTAGCGTACAGGAACGAAAACACCTCTAGTATTAGACTGAAGCTTTTTTATATTCAATACATTCATATTAGCTTCAGTTTGATTGCATTCAACCGGAGCTCAACGTCAATATCTGCACTACGATCAACGAAAGAAAAATGGTACGAACGCATAATCAAATCATCAAAACCAAAACCCGAGTTCATTATTACATACAATCTCCTTGATGGGAGTAAAGTCTGGATGAATGTTTTGAGGCTCTCTTTCCTGCTGTGGTGTGATGGGAATGAGCTGAGGTTCTGTTTTGTGTGCATGAAACTGAACTATGTTCTTTTTTTCCACATTCATAGTCTACACAGATATGAACACCATTCAAGTACTTAACTACAATGTGTGCCATGATCAGGTTTAGCATGTTCGCAGCCATTTACATCGGTGGCAGAATGCAAATTGAAAAGAACAGAACGGCTGGATCTCTACGGCAAACCGTTTTAGCTTTTAATGCTTTTTTTCTTTATATCAGGAATTCAATAATCAAAAATTTTATTCTTACGAGTCAAAATTTTATTTTCACTAGAGATAATTCATAGGTTTCCCCATTCATTTTAATGAGGGGAACATTTTTATTTGTAAGAATTAAATTTTTATTAGTGAAAATTCAAACTACGACTTTTTACTTGTAGAAAATACAATTTTACTAGTTCTAAGTGAATTATTATATGTAAAAATTAAATTTTCTCTAGTGAAAAAATAATTTTTGATATGAAGAATTTAATTCTTACTGGTAAAAATTCAATTCTTGATATTAAGAATTACATTTTTACTAGTAAGAATTTAATTCTTGATATCAAGGATTGAATTTCTACATGTAAAAAAAATAAATTTTCACTGGTAAAAATTTAATTCTTACTAGTAAAAAAGCTTCCCCCCATTAAAATGAATGGGGAAACTCATGAATTATCACTAGTAAAAATTTAATTTTGACTAGTAAGAATTACATTTTTACATGTAAGAATTTAATTTTCTCATGTAGAAATTCAATTTTTGATATCAAGAATTTAATTTTCTCATGTAGAAATTCAATTTTTGATATCAAGAATTTAATTTTTAGCAGTACAAATTAAATTCTTGATATCAAAAATTACATTTTTACTAGTAACAACTGAAATCTTGATATCAAAAATTTAATTTTCACTAGTGAAGAATGAATTCTTGATATCAAGAATTAAATTTCTACATGTGAAAATTCAGTTTTTACTAGTAAGAATTAAATTTTAACGTGTAAATTGAACTCCTGATATCAAGAAAAAAAATGGGCTTGTCCATAGATCTCCTTCAGAGTAAAAAAAGCCACACAATGGAATGAGATTCAAGTGACTGAATACAAAACAGCAGAAACTATAAGATGCTGAGGACATTAGTAATTAAAGATTTCACCTGCATTAAAGTCACTGAGTGTCTGTAGACTCATCCAGATGAACATGGACTTCACATTAAATGCTTTACGCAAACACGTAGCAGAGTATTTAAAAACCAAACCCCCTTCCACACGACCGATGGCACCGAAAGGGAACTATTCATGCCATCAGCGGCCCAGAGTTGTGGACCATTAATTCCCTTCACGCACTGACATACAGAAAAATGCACAATATATCAAGCAAAAAAACAGACGGCTCCACATTTCGTGTCCAAGCAACACACTGAATTTCCTTCATTCACTTTATATGCACACTGTGTTGATGGAACAGAAGAAAAGCCCCCAAGATGCCCACCAAAACAGTAACTTGTAGTAAACTTGTTTTTCATTTGGACTTCAGTTTTCAGGGGTAGAGTCATATGCATAAGTTTGAACATCCCCATTCAAATCACTTGTTCCTCTCCAGGGAACAAACTTTAATACTGCAAATATAATACAAACTTTAATTTCTGCAAATATCAGTGCACAATTTATATTTATTTGGCTTAACATATTGGAAAAAATAGAAAATATGCTATAGCTTTTGCCCAGGTCACATTTTATGTTTTATTTTTTTCCAAATATGTTAAATTCAGCAAATAAACAGTAACTGTGCATTAAAATTGCAGAAGTGTGTCTCTGTAGAGGAAGTGTAACTTATTTTCACAATTAACAAACCATATAATTTGACCAGATGTGCCCAAACTTTTGCATATGACTCGAACACTTTTTACATAATTAAGCAAGTATGACAGCATTTTAGAGCATCTGTTAGTAAAATAAAAATAGTAGATTTCGAGAATAATGTCGTAATATTTCGAGAAAAAAGTCGTAAAAATTTTAGAAAAAAGTTGTAATATTTCGAGAAAAAAGTTGTGATATTTTGATAAAAAAATCTTAATATTTTGATAAAAAAGTTGTAATATTTCAAGAAAAAAGTTGTGATATTTCGATAAAAAAGACGTAATATTTTCAGAAATAAGTTGTAATCTTTCAAGAAAAAGACACAATATTTGGAGCGTAAAGTCGTAATATTTTGAGAAAAAAAAATCATTCTCACTGTCTGTGAAACTGTAGTAGCCCCGATAGCCGTGTAGACGACCCTGCCTGCGGTTCTCCTTCAACAAATCAGACAGACAGTTTCCTCCGAGTCCGTCTGGCTCTTTATTCTAGATAAACACAGTTTCCTGCTCAGCCATTTCAGCCGGTTCTTATACTAATAACAGGCTGTGCGTACGACTTTTTTCTCGAAATATTACGACTTTTTTCTCGAAGGCTACTATTTTTATTTTTATTAACAGTGGCCCTAAAACACTGTTGTAAGCAAGTTGTGTGTGATTTGTTGAAAAAAATGATGCAAAGAACATGATGAAAAGTCTGGACTGGGCTTAAAGCGACCCCTTGTACATTTTAAGACCACCTGTATTCCCAATAGGTCCACTCATTGTCAGAAAAATGATTCATTTTAGTAGTTGAAGAGCTTATGAACGACAGAAGCACTATTTTAAGAAGAATTGATGACAAATAATTAAACTGGGAACCATTATTATTAAAAAAAGGATAAATTCCTAAATTGACTAGTTCATACATTGTAGAGTCCATGAGATCAGTGCCAAATGGACATGCTAATCAGGTCAGGAATCCACACTTTCTGTCCAGTTTTATATTTCAGTGTAAAATAAAGAGAATTATATCCATCAGGGTTGCAAATTTGATCTGACAAGTGGGGGAACCAACATCGAGAGGCTCTAACCAACAAAAAGTGCTAACATTAGATAAAAGTTGCAGGTTTTATATTTAAAACTAGGTAAACAAAGTGTGCAGAGTTACTATTTTCTCATTGTATCTGATAATTTATACGTCAACTTTAAAGCACAAAAACAACAAATATTATTAACAGGAATATGTATGTGGATGATTTGAAGTGTAGATTGGAATAACAACATATTGTAGATGCTAATAAAAGGTAGTAAAGTTAGCTGTTAGGCTACCTGCTTCACTATGTTTCAGTTTACGATAACAAAGCAACATGACTGGTGTGGGTGATTTGTGGGCCACACAACACCGTCCCCCCCACCCCGTCCAATAAAGTTCTGACTTCTACCTTACAGGGTGGGTAATTTTTGATTATTTTTGATAGTTATATGGCTAATTCTAACATTTTGAGCATGTACGTTAGCAGAATGAGTGTTTCATTTCCTCTCTATTTCCTCTATTTTTCTCTCTCATGTAAAACACAGTTTTGCTTGACTCTAAACAAAATTCTGTGTAACTGTAGACATTTGTATGAGTGCACACAACAGTTCAGTGTGTCGTTTAACCCTCTACTGCATGCTGTTGCCACATGGCAGCAATTACTTTATCTCAATTTTACCAAAAGGCAGTAAAAAAAATCTGTGTTTTGCTATTTAATTGTGGAAAAAGGGTCTTTTACTTTGAAAGGACAAATACTTTAGGACATTGAATGACCAGGAAATCTTATTATAATGTTATTATTACCATAGATTCCAAATACCAACTGAAATTTCATTGCTTTCCAATATTTGTAAATAATGGGTCACACATTTTACTGAGTATAAGTTGGATTTGTTCAGTCTTGTTTTCAATAAAAGGATGTTTTTAGAGAAAAATTTGATTTTATGGTGCTTTTTTTTTTAGATTCTATGGTGCTTTCACGACTGCACATTGTTGCCATATGGCAACAATTTACCAACTACCCTCCTTAAAAAAATAGCTATATTTATTTTTTTTCCAAATATTTCCATTATTTTAGCAACTATAAATAACAAAAACACATCAAAACATTTTTATCATGTCTAAGTAATTATTCATGCAATAGAGTGTTAACTACTAAGTAAACATAGCTAGGAAGCAAGTTGGCTAATCAGCGATTTTGGCCACTTCTGGGTTTTACTTTTTAGCTTCATCCAGCAAACAAGAAAATCAGTTAAGTCATTAATCGCAATTATATACGACAATTAATCGTCAGCTAAAATTTCACGATTGTGACAGCCCTACCCATAGTTCACTTGGACTATGGCAGTCTAAGGCATTTACTGGGTTATTCTTGTATTTGGGTATTTATTTTTACAAAGCTGCAAATATTCTACAACTGGAATAGTAGGTGGGCTTATTGGGGGCTTTCCCTTATATTATAGTACATTCATATGTAAATGAAGTCCATTTTTGAATCAAGTCAATTCAATGTGTCACTTTTCAGATGTGGAGCGACTGGTCTTTGGAGAAAACCTCACATGTTTTTCTTCAAGTTTTCAGCCCAAAGATCGAGACATTCGACATTAAAGATTAAAAGTAATCATGGAAAATATAAAAGGATTCCCCCCCTCCGAGGAAAACACAGCACGTACGATTTTCCAAAAATTAAGATGCTTAAATTAGAGCTTAAATTAGGGGTCCAAGCACTGAGATACAACTTTTTTGTACAGTCAAATAAGGAGAGCACTTAAGAGCTTCTGTTATGCAAGCGGCTGTGTCCCAGAAACTGACCTGTCATTGCTCTAATGTACGTCATATACTGCACCATAATACTGCGGACCCATAACACTGTGTACAAAGATGTTGGCAGGTAGCCAAAGACCTAAAATTTGACAAAAAAAAAGGGAAAAAATGCTCTATTTTTGCTCACAAACATTCAGAGATTAAGGAAATGTTTCACAGACAATTTAAACTACAGCTATTTTTTGTAGATAATGTATAGGAAACCTGCCAGGATACCAGTTTATGATTAGATATTTACGTATGTTCATATTATCAAGCAAAAAGGAATAGAAAAACCTGACAGGCCTGTATTTAACACATTGGTAATTCCAGGTTATGGCTGAATAATTCTTATGATACAGGCAGAGACTGTGCCGTAGTGCACACACAAAAAAAATGCGTTTACGTCCATCCCGTTAACCCCCAGCGCTCAGCTAATAAAAATGCCTCTAAATCACTATACAGTGCATTCCAAACGAAGGATTTCCGCATAATGTATAACGAAAGAGACTGGGCGATATGACCACTGTCCTGTCATATATATATTTTCGCCGTTGAGGCATTTAACCAGCTGTCGCACTGTTCATGTCTTCTTTCACATTCACTACATAGAAAGAACCACTGGGGGGCAGGAGTGGTGCGTCATGTTCAAGCAAAAGGAGCGAAAGAAGGTATTCCAGGCGCGGAGGAGGGGGAGATTGTACATTACATCCCAAGAGGAGCGGGATTTTAATTCAGGACTCTAGTCCAGGACGAGCACCCCCACCAAAATGGCTCAATAAATGCAGAGATGATCGAGTCTTCGACAGAAAACGTGTCAAAACAGCGAAGGTCCGACCTTCTTAAGCACCGAGTGCCTTAAAACTTCACCATCCTCAGTCTGGTCTCCATCCATAGACCTTTTCATAATCACAGAAGTAAAAAAAACAATAAATAAAAGAAAAAGAAAGCAGGAGCTGAATAAACGGGCACGCACGCGAGAACTCTTCGAGACAAAAGTGCAATCGATAGGATCTGAATAGTACTGATTCATAGAAGTGCTCCAGAATAATATCCGTGTTAATCTAGCAGAGGGCAGGGGGCGGCTAATCTTCAATGCAGATGACATCAGTGGGCTTGCCGGATTTCAGCTCAGGGGGGGACAGGTCCCTCAGAGCGTCGCTGGACTTCTTGTCTAGGAGGCTGCTGGGCGGTGGGGGGCCGTTTGAGGACACTACAAGCAGACAAAGAAACAGGCATACAAAGCTTAGGTTAGAGGTCGCAACCCAAATGAAAAGAAGAGCCAATTTTTTAAGTTTTAACAAAAATCTAACCACCTTGGGAGCCACAACATTCCATGTCCATTTTTTTGAAGTAACGTTTTACCATCTTGGCTGTAAATATGTCTCATTGTGTGCTAATCTACTACAGGGAGATTCACTCGAAAGAGGCCCCGAATATTCTGTAATAACTCTCTCTAGGAAGAAGCAATCTGAACGAAACAACGTGCACTGTGCTCCTCAGTATATGGAGCTTCAAACAAGCCGGGATGCCCCTGCGCCAGAGTGGCGAGGTAGGCGCCGGACAGACGTTGCAAAGTTTAACCTCTCTAATGCTTGCCTATAGGTTCAGGAACATGGAACGTCACATCGAAATGTGACTAGCAGAAAACGGAGGTCACTTCCAGCATCGCATGTAATGCAATCGATTACATATACATCAAGGTATGTAGTGTATTGTTTTTGGTTCAGATTGCTTTATCCTAACGGGGGTTACAGCAGAATATTCGGGGCCTCTTTCGAGTGAATCTCCCTGTAGAATAGGCTAAAAATATAATACAAACAAAAACGCAGACTTACTTTGCTCTACCTTAATCTTTAGCTTAGCTATAGCAGCTTTTCTCGCATCTCCAGCAGGAAACTTTTCCACAAAAGTAGAACAGTTTCTTGTAAAATGTCTCAACTTTTTAAGCAGCTGAAGTCGCTTCTCATTCGCCAGCTTCTTGTTCAAATTATCTAGTTCCACCTTAAATGGTGCCTGAGGCGCCAGAATGTAGCTAACTATGTAGATAACGGTTGCACCATTTAAGGTGGAACAGGACAATTCAAACGAGAAGCAACTTCAGCTTTGTGACTTTTTAGTGTTTGTCAGTTTCTCTCTGCAGATTAAACGTATCAGGAAACCAGCTGGAGTGATTATAAATGCACCAACCTTACATTAGTTGTTACACTGTTGTTGCATGTATTGTTAAAGTGTAACTACACAGTTATTACAGACACTCAATATAAAGTGGGACCGATAACTCAACACTACGTGTGTGAAAGAAGAAAATTTACACTAGAACATCAAAATTGGACATCTGGGATGTTGAGTAAGGTTTCATGGGTGACTTGTTGAATGGATTACTTGGATTGTAAGAAACAGAAAATGTAACCAACTTCTAAGACTGAACTTGAAGTGTTAAAAATGTCCCAACAGATTTCTCTGCACAAACTGAAAGCAGGTCTACCTAAAAAGAACAGAAGCTGCAATAAAGGTAAATGGTGAACACAATAAATGCTGAAAGAAGTAATACGATACTTAGTTGTTGCTGTTAAATATATGTTTTCCAGCCTTTTCCTGAAAAAATATTTACTTTGACTTATTAGTTCGTTTGGCTGGAAATTAAATGAATGAAAGGACGGTCTTTTGCACAGTACTGTACATATCCTGGGTTTGGAGTATTTACAACAATATAAAACAGGTGGGATTTTAATAACACTATTAATTCTAATAACATTTTATTAGCCATTTGAATATGGCTATAACCATAATTACTGACATACGCGCACACATATTCAAAGCAAGAGGAAAGAGAAGAATTACTAACAATTAGACCTGAACGATTTGGGGAAAATATCTAACTGACATTTTCCCTTCTAACATTGTAGCTACAATATAAATTGTGTTTTTTTTTTCTTCTAAATTAAGATTCAGGCCTGATTTATTTTGGCCAAGAAGACCAGAATATCCACCTTTCCTAGCTTGAGGCTCGACCCCTGAACACAGTGTGCCAAACCGCCAGTAAGTTGTGGTTGTGATGTCACAACACGTGGAGGTTTGGTTGCCTCTGATTGGTCTAACTCACCTACAGGCATTTCCCAAACTCTTATTAGGTTCAATTTCCCCTCTTAGAACCTAAAACAACTTTTCTGCTAATGTACACACTTACAAAAGATGGTTCTTCAAGGGTTCTTTAGTAAAGACAATGGTTCTATATAGAACCATAGACACTCAATGACTCACTTGCATGCTTAAAAAGTTTTTTGCATGATGAAATGGTTCTTTAAATGTATAGACAGTGTGTTGTATACAGTTCTATACAGCACGAAAATGTTCTATTGTTACGAGCTTGACATTGTAACAATAGCAGAACCCTTTTTGGTGCTGTATAGAACCATATACAACAAATTTTCCTTCAAACTGAAGAACGATTTCACCATGTGAAGAACCATTTAGGCATGCAAATGGGTCTCTGAGTGTTCACGGTTCTATATGAAATTATCGTCTTTACTGAAGAACCATCTTTTTTAAGAGTGCAGGCTATAATTTTAAAAAGAAATTGCAGCTTTTGCAATTTGAAAAGTGCTTAAATTGTGATTTCGATATAAAAACAATGATTTTTTCAGCCCTACTAATAACTATAATTCAATTAATTGACTAAACTAACAGGATTTCTTTGATTCCTCCCTTATTTCCAATGCCATCAAAGCTGTGCACCAAAGGATTTCTTCCTTTACAGTCCAGTGAAACAATAGAAGGCATGTTGCCCCCTACACTACCTACAGTTTATTGCAATGTCAGTAAGGCCGCATTCTGCATCATATGAACATGTATTTTACTGTATTGTGAAGTAAAAAAAAAAAAGCCAACTTTTTTCTGTACTTTTCTGAATTTGTCAAATAATCGCAGCCCTACTCAAGAGTGAAGCCCTGAATCACTGCTGAATCAGAGGGTCCTCACCACTGACATATGGTCCCAGGGGCATCTGGCTATAGTTGACCATGGGTGTCCCACCAGGCCCTCTGAATCCTCCCCCAAAGCTGTTACTGTACATCTGAGAACAACCAAATGAGCCCTGGGGGAAAGGCTGTAGACACACAGAGAGAAATCAGGCTGAAACCCAATCCTATAAGTCATATAAAAATGAATTATGAAATATTTTTGGTAATGAAACCGAACAGACCTTCAAAATAAACTTCAGTGATAAAATAAAACACAAGAAATCGGTAGAATACAGGCCAATAAATAAAATGTTATTATAGTGGATGCGCTGTTTAACAGCCTGTCCTGATGCTGACCTGCTGTGGCGGCTCGTTGCCCCGGCTCGTGAGTCGGCTAAGGATGCTCCTCTCCGACATCTGCAGCCGCGCGGACACGGGAGGGATACGGGAAAGCATAGAGGGCAGCCGCGTTACATCTGCCTTCATATCACTCAGTAGCTCCTCCAGCTGGTTTAAAACTGCAAAGACACCAACACAATCTCTGAAGAATACAGCTCCACATCACATACATTAGGTAAACGCAATATATTGTTAATAAACGCAATATATTGTTAATTTAGGAATGCTCATATGTCATTTTTGTAGTTTTTCGAGCATAACAGTTATGCATAAAAATATTTAACCCTTTATAGTTTAACATAGATTGTTATTTTTTTATTTATGATTTTGGGGGTGCTGCAACACCAAGAACACGGAAAGAAGATGCAGAGATTCATCGAGTAAGAAGCATAGTTATCATTTTTCTTTTAGCCAGTGCACAGACAATGAGTAACAGCCCATTCTGCTAAAAAAGTTCAATAAACAGCAACACCAAATAGAGGCTACTACATCTGACTGCAGAATACCTGAAATTAATCCATGTTTCAAAATCATCCCAGCCCTATCGTACAGCCCAAATATAATACCTTGCCTGTCTTGAGTTGTAATGAGACCCAAAGTGGTTTGCAGTTCATATTTAGCTTCACTGTAACCTTCGGAAGCTGCAGAAATAACATGGTTAGATACCAGAAGGACTTAAGGCCTCAGCAGACTTCTTGTAGACGTTCGTCTGGCTTCAGCGAACAATGTAATGTAATTGTGGAGAAAAACAAACAACCGCAGACGTCATGCAGAGGCTTCGTTCGCTGTGTCGCACATACTAGACACTACATGACAAAGCCTGTGATTGGTGGGTAAAAAAGGGGTGTGCCATAAAACAAAGACGAACGACTCTGAGGAGCTGCGTTTGTGAGAAGTTCGCTGAGCGCTTTGGCAGACACACCAATATTTCAACGTGAAACATGCATTTGTTAAATAAACAATGAAAACCTCCTAAATGTAAGACGTTAAGTCTGTTATTCGGTAGTACCAACTAGTGCTGAGCACCAAAACATATTTATAGGTTTATTTATATTTAGGTTCACAAGAGGACGAGGCTGAAGTTGGCTTGGTACTCCACCAGCACCAGCAGTGGAGCCACCAGCATCTCTCACTTTGACAGAGAACCTATAAGATGGTTCTAACTTTACATCTCTTCCTCCTGGAAGAGAATTTCTGCAAGATGTTCAAGCTCTAAGCTTCTTTGTCGTATCTTGTGATAAAATCTCATTAGCTCTGTCGTTCTCTCTTCATCCGGGGTCGACCAGGGGAGGATGGGTTCCTCCCATGAGGCTGGGTTCCTCTCGAGGTTTCTTCGTCTTACTCCTATGGAGTTTTTCCTGGCCACTGTCGCCTCTGGCTCGCTCATGGGGGGCTTGGACCCGGAATAAGTTCCTTTACGTCTATACATGGACTCCTTTTTATTTTTCTTTTATTTTCTTTTTTTTTTTTTTATTCTTTTAATAACCCTTCCATAAACTGTTTTCCTTCAATAAACTGCTTTTCTGTAAAGCTGCTTTGAGACAACACTAGTTGTAAAAAGCGCTATATAAATAAATGTTGTTGTTGTTTTCTCCAGCTTCTTGTTCGAGTTTTCCTGTTCCACCTTAAATGGTGGCAGTATTCTGGACTTGAACGTCACCATATTTGACACTGTGATAGAATCGATTTTCCAAAAGTCATGGCTTATCATAAAATATCACAGCATCACCTGCAGTAGTGGAGCATCCACGACAGGCAACACGAAACCGCAGAAAGTATGTGAGCTTGTAAGCTCACGAAGGCGCTTTCAGCTTCGTGCAACCCTCGAGAATTTCTTTTCACAAGAAGTACTCTGAGGCCTTAAGTGGTGCTAAAAAGCACAATCAGGCAAACCTTTATGCAGGACGGCATTAGCTGGCTTGTTGCCAGCCAGGGACTCTTTGGAGAGGTGCTGGTGGGATTCGGCCAGGCACTCGACCTCAGCGAAGCGTGTGTTCAGGGCCATGGCAGGATGGCTGGCGTCCTGGGTCATGTTCAGATAGGCCGCCCTGCGCAACTGCTCTTCTATAACCAGAGCCTGCTCCAACAGCTGAGACAGACAGACAGACAGACAGAGAGACAGCTGTTACCCAGAGGCAGTTACTTCAATCTCAGAATCTTCCCTTGTTGTTTTGTACTCTCCTGACACTCATCTCAAGCCCACTACAACATAATGAAATAACACTGCCCTTGAAAGGCGACGGAAGATATGAGGACCGGTGGTTCAGGACAAGACCAAGAACAAATAAACACAATATCCACAAAAAAAATCTTCTGATACGTTTCAGAGAGCAGAGAGAGTTCAGGAGGGCAAAAAATGTCATAAAATAATTAATATCCACATTTATTAAGCTAATTATTAAGCTAATAACTAAATAATAATTATTACATTTTATGTAATTATTATAAATATCGCATTTTTTGTGTCAGGAAAAAGTATTTGTATACATGAATATGTATATATATATATATATATATATATATATATATATATACATATATATATATATAGGTGTGTGTGTGTATTGTGACAGAGATTTTGCCTTAATCAGTAATTAAATAGATTAGATATTGTAATGAATAACCAAATAGGCAGTATTGGCTAACAGAGAATACTAATTCTCTCACAAAGGTCAGCCTTCGTCTGTCTGCTTAGGAGATTCTAGACACTGGAAAGCCGCTGGGTTCACAGAGAGGCCTGTGTGTACCTACTGACCCAGTGAAGAGAGGGGCAAGTTGACCTTGAAAGGTAAAGCAGACTGGGAAAAACCGGATGAAACCAGGTTTTAGGAGTGAGCTCATCATGCGATGGCCAAATTGATGGATGAAGAGATGCACCTATTAGAGAAATAAGGCGGGTGGATATCAAATTACCCCAGATAAATGGTATAAACTGTTATTTGGAACACTATATTTGTGCAGTTGGGTCTCTCTGAGCCGCCTGAAATAAAGAAGAAGCCTTTTTCCCTCTTCCATAATCTCTGCGTCTGAAGACTCTTTCCTTTTTGACTTCTTTTGAGAACTTAGACAGTTATTAGTGAAAGTGTTTTAAAAGATTTCTTTTTATTCATAATATTATGTTGGAGGCCTGGGGTTGAAGGGGACAGCCCTTGGTCACGACAATCGCTGCTGTCAGAACAAAACCTTATCTCCAAAATGGAAACTTTACAGGAGAAAAAGAAAACATACTTTACTCTGAATGTAAGTCAATGGAACCAGAATTTTTTAAAGAAATTTTTGGGCCGTTTCTTTTGGTTCATTCATCATGAAATGTAAACACATCGTAAAGGGCAAAACGCATTTCTGACAAATTATGTCAAAAACTGAAAACGACTTTCTGAAAAACGGTTATGTTTCGACAGCAGCGATATATGTATATATACCAACTAAACATCAACATTTCAGTACTGAACGTGTCCACTCTTTGCTTGAAGTTTTTCAAAAATTCTGCAGGAATATTCTACAAAGTTCAGTCTTAGAAGTTGCATATTTGTTTCTCACTTTCGCAAATGTTCTTTTTTTGTTGTTTTTTTTTTGACAGCTACATCTCATTTCAGACGTATGAGTTCTTATCTCACAATGTAACTGACAGAAGCACCTGTGGATTTTTCCAGAATTGCAGGAGTGGAGCTCAGATTTCTCCTCTCTCAAAGATCAAAGTACTGTTAACCTGAAGGTGACAACTCTGGTGTTCTACTAGGTCTTTGAGTCCCATTTTCTCTGGAACTTAATCAGTTTTCGGAAACTCATTTTTAATTTGCTTATACAAGTAAATGATCTCATATTCAACCTCTTTGGGAATATTTCCAGAAAAATGAATCTTTTGTAATTTATAAAAAAATAAATCAGGACTTCCATAAGTATTATGCACCTCCTCCTGGGGAGAAACTGAGTGACTCACTTTGAAACGCCGTGCCAGGAACTTGTTCTTCATCTCCAGGTAGTTGCCTTTGTTCATCTCGGTCTTAAAGGGCTCGTTGAGGATGGCGTAGCGCGGGTCGTTCTGGATGTCCTGCCAGCGTGCATAGCCATGGCTAAAACACACCTGGTCAAGGGGCCAAACATGGCTAACAAAACAGCAAGACAACACGGCTGACTGCACAGCGAACTAATTTGACTTTATTTACATCTAAATGATTTAGTTATGCAAAAATTCCCCTTTAATGAATAGCACTGCTTGTCTGAAGAAGTATTCATTTATTATTATTAATAATAAATTAAAGTCTATTGATCATGGGGATGTTTTATTATATGTTATCACATCATATGTTGTGTGTTAGTAATTTTACCACGGTTAAGGGGTGTTAGGCACTACATGAAGCAGGCTCTATTGTTAAAAGCACTCACTGAAGGGGCCAAATATGGCTAACAATACTGCAAGGAAATGCAGAGAGCCAAGACTATACTGCACAACAGAAGCGACTCAGACTGCCACCTTCCTCTTAAACTACATCAGGCCGAAAAAAGAATAAAAGAAAGAAACATGTAGCAACATTTGACTTACTCCTTTGCAGCTACACAAGACAGCGACTATTTCTGCTGTCTGGAACTGAAAGAAGTGTGTGCATTGTTGTTGAAACACAGCTACTGAAGCTCAAAAGAGCTGGGAAAGGCAGAGGGGGAGTTAAAACAGGATACGTTACGATGCCAGCCAGCAGCCAGTAGTCGTGCCGACGGTGCCAGATGTCGTACATCTTGCCAGATGACACGGCTACGCGCTCTTCGTTCTGCCACAGAGTGTGCAGCTCTGAAAAGACACAGACAAACGCACACGAATCCATTTCATGTTTACAGCTACCATCATCTCTGCACGATTTCTTTCGCACCGCAGTAATGGTCCCTGAGGGAGAGCCTGCCGGAAGGGAGCGTTTTTCTCACTTAAACTCACCTGTAAAGCCTCCGTCTGCGATGTTGAACATGAATCGCATCTTGGTGCCGTTTTTGTCGTCTTTGTGGCTCTCGTCTGCCTCATCCCTCGCTTCTTTATCTCCGTTCAGTTGAGTCTCGGCAGCATCCTCGGATTTTAACTCGTGGGGAGCAGCTGTGGGAACGGACAGGTTTGGTACATCTGAGCAGAACAGCTAATATTACAGAGCAGTGGACCTTTAGAAGTCGCAGTTATCATCGTCTGGTTCTGTATGAATTATTTCTCACTCGTGGCTCATTAAAAAAAGGGGATAAATTCCGTCGAAAGTGTGGATTCTAATCCACGTTGGTGCTCCTGAGTAGAAGTATTTTTTGGTGAATTGAATTTGATGAAAAGTTATTGTTGTCCATGCATTTGGAGTCTTTCTTAGACATTAAATGTAAACATAATTGTGGTATGCGCCCAACACCGATAACGGCCGCGAGAGCCGACAGGAAGGCTGGGCCTGAACGGGAGCCCAGACGAAATCCTGCAAAGACAGAGGGAGGAGGATGAAATCTGCAAGGTAGTGGGGGATGGGTGCATGCCACAACAATTAATCACATGTATTCAGTCAACTTATGCTCGTAGGTATATTTCGGTTTGTCCATCTGAATTTTCATGACCAAATCGTAAGGCAAATTATTCAGTAACTGCACGAAATAACTAAATTTTTGGGGTTCTTTTTGTAAGAGTTCCCTCAAATAAACAGAACATGTGTTTTATGATACACATATTGCTATATGCTTGCAATTCACTGCTGAAAGCCAAAAATCTTAGACGCTCTTTGTATTATTTAATAAAAATAATTTTTACAGAGCAGATCACTGAAGAGACGCCATCTGTTTATAGTTTATAGCCCAGATTTGTGGAAAAACGGGTCGACTTTCAGTAGAAAAAAAAGAGTTCAGCTTCTTTTTTTATAAGGGTTTAAAATGACATCACCCATCTATTTGACTGGAAAGAAGACAGTTACAGCTCTCATAACCCCCACCTTTAGAATGAAGCTTATAAAATATGAAAGTTATGAAGTAAAGAATATGACGAAGTGCGTTTTGGAACCACTGGTGGTCCCAAGGAGTTAAAGAGGTTAAATATTACAAATGGACAAGAATCATTCCAAAATATCGCAACTGGAAATGCTAATAAGACAATTCTCATGTCAAGAAATCACACATTCTTTGTCTTTTATAATTACAATTACACTTTACTATGTCAGTAATCATATTTATTCTTTTGTGCCACATAATAGTGAGAAGTACAACCGCATCACAGTGAAGTAGTGATGGGGGGGACGGGGCGGCATTTTAATGCCATTTTTCTAACAGTAAAATATATAAATTTTTTAGTGAATATTGCAAATTAGACAAAAACTGCTTTCTGGGTCTATTTCGTATGACAGGGTGGACACACTGACCTGATAGACCTTGTCAAAGATGAAGAAAACAACAAATTATTGATGGTAAATAAAAGAAATCTCACCTTGGCTAAATAAGTCATGGTGTATGGTAAATAAGGTGTGACGTGCGGGGGAAGCAAAACTCAAGGACACAGACAGTATTATATTTTTCTTAAAATTCTTGAAATGTTTTTAATTAAATATTTAATTCAACTCATATATTTAAGATTAATATGGAAGCAGATGCACGTTAGAGCATGGCAAATTTTTAATGTTAATACAACTTTTATTTAGTAATATTTTATACACTACACTAATGATAAAGTTCTATTTTATTGCAAATAAATTTTTAATGAGTTTAATGAGGAAACACTGTGTCCACTCACTGTCCACTCTATTAGACACTCCTACTTTGTTTGTCCACCTTGTGGATGTAAAGTCAGAGACGATAGCTCATCTGCTGCTGCACAGTTTGTGTTGGTCATCCTCTAGTCCTTCATCAGTGGTCACAGGACGCTGCCCACAGGACGCTGTCGGCTGGATATTTTTGGTTGGTGGACTATTCTCAGTCCAGCAGTGACACTGAGGTGTTTAAAAACTCCAGCAGCACTGCTGTGTCTGATCCACTCAGACCAGCGCAACACACACTAACACACCACCACCACGTCAGTGTTACTGCAGTGCTGAGAATGATCCACCACCCAAATAGTACCTGCTCTGTGGGGGTCCTGTGGGGGTTCTGACCACTGAAGAACAGGGTAAAAGGGGGCTAACAAAGTATCAGAGAAACAGATGGACTACAGTCTGTAACTGTAGAATTAACTGCTCCTATATGGTCAGTGGAGCTGATAAAATGGACAATGAGTATAGATACAATGAGGTGTACTTAATAAAGTGGCCGGTCGGTGCATATATATTTACTCATTTGCAATAAAAGAAATCATAACATATGTTAATGTTGAGCTCTGAATTAAAATACAATAAGGACTCTAATAATGAATAATAACTCCTCATTCATGGATTTATGCAGTTAATAAGCACCACATTACGATGAATTGAGCTATTGTAGAACCATATCAATGCCTATATACCATTAATCCCGCTGTGTAGAACAGCCTTTCGGATCCTTCATTGCCTTTAATGAAACAGATCTTATTCTCACCTGGCTTTTGTTCTTTATCCTCCACTTTCACTGCAGTAGAGTCACTCTCTGATTTCTCGGCTGCGCTCTCCATGTCTTTACTTTGCTCACCTAGGAATAAACACAGTCAGTTAACCTGCATTCATCATCAATCAGCTTAGCACGACACTGACTGTGTTTATCTGCAAAGATTTTCTCCAATCTAATTGAACACATTCCGATTACAGATTAAGACTGAGGTGTTTATTCTCACTCTATTTAACAATCTGATGAAAATCTCAGTTTACATGCTCGCTACAAGAAATCAGATCCGAAATAACGCGCATGTGTAGAGAACCACTTAGTGTAGACGTTACCATGACAACCAGCATCACGTGAGTCCAGTCAGAGTTAGATGAGCAGCAGTGAGCAGCGCTTGTGTTTTTAATCGCTTTAAAATGATGTCAGACTCAGGAAAACGTCCTTCACATGTCCTTATTAAAGAAGGCCGAGAGGAAGACGTCGTGTTCTGAAACACATAAGCTGGACGTCCGTCCCACCGCCGTCTTTTAAAGATCAGAGCATAAACTTCATCTCCTCTGCAGACTAGTTTCTGCTCCGCCATGTCGAACGGTATAAACTTTCACTATGACGCGACGAACATGATCAGAACGGACTTAAACTTTCCGATAGGGAATGTAATCAGATACAGGCGTTTACACGGATATTATTCTTCTATTTAACGGATTATTTACAGGATTACCCACCTTGATCAGTCGGATAGAAACTGTATTACTAATGGCTTCAATCGGACTAGACTATTCAGACTGAGGTGTTTACATATTCGGATTGAGCCTACAGTCGGATTATCGACAGATTTTCAGGCTGCATGTAAACGTGGCTACTGAAAATGAAGCTTTCTTACCTGTAGATGTTGTCTGGTTCTGACTGGTGGACTGCTCTATCTGTTTGGACGAAGGTTGCGTCTGATTGGCTGATGGCTCTGTTGGAGAGGGCATGTTGTCTTTCTTTTCACTCTCTTCACTATTCCTCTCCTCAGGGTTGCTTCTCTTCACTTCTTCGCTCTCACTGGTTTTCTCGGGTGTAGGGGACAGTTCTGATTCTTTGGGTGTCTGAGAGGAGAGAGGAGGACATTAGGAGAGATGCCTGGAGGAAAAAAAAAGGATACCTCCACAGTGGAGCTTTAATTAGGCCCAACACAATTCTCTCTGAGCCCAACCACCACCAGATGGAGGCTGAATAAAACATTCTTAATAACACATTATATGGCCAAAACTATGTGGACACATGGTCACCACACCTTTATTGTTGGACATCCTATTCCACACTACTGGCACATGGAGCAGCTACAATGACCTCCACTCTTCTGGGAAGCTTTCCACAAGATTTTGGAGTGTGTCTGTGGGAATTTGTGCCCATGCAGTCATAGGAGGATTTGTAAGGTCAGGCACTGATGCTGGACAAGAGGGCCTGGCTCACAATCAAATTTCAAATTCTTCCCGAAGGAGTTCAGTGGGGTTGAGGTCAGTGCTCTGCGCAGGCCACTGGAGTTCCTCCACATCAAACTTGTCAAACCATTACTTCATGGAGCTCACTTTGTGCACAGGGTCTCAGTCATGCTGGAACAGGAAAGGCTCTTCCCCAAACTGGTGACAAAGTTGGAAGCATATAATTGTCTAAATGTCTTTGTATACTGCAGCATTAACATCACCCTTCACTGGAACTAAGGGGCCCAAACCGTGAAAAACAGCCCCAACCCATTATCCCTCCTCCATCAAACTTTAGATTTGGCACTGTGTATTCCAGTACGTAACGTTCTCCTGGCATCCGCAAATTCCAGATTTGTCCATCAGACTGCCAGATAGTGAAGCATGATTCATCTCTCCCGATAACATGATTTCAGAGTGATGCAACTGAGGATAGGTGATTTTTATGCACCACATGCTTCAGCAATGAGGAGCCCTGCTCTGTGAGTTTACGTGGTTTACTGCTTCAATAGACACTTCCATTTCACAGCAATAGTACTTACAGTTGACGGGGCAGATCTAACAGGGAAGAAATTTCATGAACCGACTTTTACAAATTGGTAAAGGTGGCATCCTATGCCATGTTTAAAGAAACTGAGCTCATCAGTACGACCCATTCCACTACCAACGTTCGTCTAAGGACAACGCGTGGCTATGAGGGGGCTCCCGAGTGGTGCAACTGTCTAAGTGTTGGCCCTATCATCAGGAGATCCAAGAGAGCGCAATTGGCCTCGTTCTCTCTGTGGGTAGGACGGCCCCCTGTCTCCCCTCATCACTCAGCGTGATGCTAGTCTGTTAGCTGACGTAACAGAACTGGTGGATGGCGCTTTCCTCCGAGCGGGTTTGGCTGTTCAATGACGTCATGTGAGCGTCAGTTCGAAAAGATGTGGTGGCGCTTCACATCTCTCAGAGGAAGCCTATGTTTGCCTCTCCCTTCTAGCACCTGGTGGTGTCGTGTGATTGGGCGAGTCCTAACTAGCGGGTGAAATTGGAGACGACTACATTGAGGAGAAAACTGGGGAAAAATCTAAACAAAAAAAAATGATGTCAAATGTAAGAAACTGGTATTGTGAAATTTGATTCGTACTTGAGCTTGAAAAAATATGAGAAATTAATTCACCCGACCAAATCTGTAAATGTTTAAGGCCCCTCTGACAGTCACCTCACCTCAGAATCTGCAGGTTTGGTGCTCTCCTGGTCAGTAGCCTCTTTGTCTTCTTGAGGACCAGGACCACCCTCAGGCTTGTCTGTGAAACACAGATGTCCTGCAGTCAGTGCGTAGTCCACACATACAAACTCACTGACCTGATGGTAGGCCTGACAATAAAACACTGACAAAATCATAATTATGAAAATCAAACATTTTTCTGACTCTCAGTGATGTACATCTGAGGTATTTAGCAAGTATCTAAGGCAAGTGTGAACAGATAAACACACTGAATCTGACATTTTCCATTCCGATTTGAGACGCTTTCATATGTGGTACTGAAACCCGATACGTATCCGCGGCAATGCGACTCAGTCTGAACAGCCAGATCGGAATTGCCACTTTTAGTCCAACTCGACATTCATCATAATTTCGCGCTGCTGAGACTCAGAAACATTTGGGGTGATATTTCTGTCCAAAACCCTCCATGTTCTAAGAGATTTCTAAAGAAATGTCTGAACCAAATCTGTAAATATTTAATGCCCCTCTGACAGTCACCTCACCATAGGAGAACGAGGCTGCAGCGTCAAAGAACAGATAAAAGTCTGAAAGCAAAGTTTAAAGAATCTGAGGACGCGAACCAAAGAAGTGACCGCGCCCTTTTTACGGCTCGAACACATTCTGGGTGAAGAGCCCAGCTGTCAGTCAGTGAAGCTTCATGATGGCTCCTGTGATGCTGGTGAAGATGAAACTGATCCTCCGGGAGTGACTGGCGTTCGTTGGCGGTTGTGATTTTTTACCTCTGGATGAGCCGTGAAGCAGCGTGACGCTCTGATCTTTTGTTCATGTGGGTCAGTTTAGGAGCTGATCTGTTCAGACTGATGTTGCATACAGATCAGATTTAAAAGACAATGTGAACAGCCAAACTGAAAAAATTGGATTTGGTGAGAAAATCAGATCTGGGCCACTTTTACCTGCTGTGTAAAGTGCTACTTCAGGACACTAGGTGGCGATGTGCAACTGCAGAACTACAAAGTGCTCCTATATGGTCAGTGGAGCTGATAAAATGGACAATGTGTGTAGAAACAAGGAGGTAGTTTTAATGTTATGGCTCATCATTGTGTTTAGTGATAAGATCTTTGGTAGTCAAGACTATATGGGCCAGGCCCACCTGAGGGTACAGGTGTGCTGGGCTGTGTTGGAGCAGGGCTGGCTGGAACAGGAGTGTTGGGGTCAGATGATAAACTCTCAGTCAATTTCTTCAACTCCAGGCCTGCAGGAATCAGCTCCGGAGAACTGTATTTACCATTTATGTGCTCAAACTCCTGCACCTGCACAAACACATACAAACATACATACATCTTTTCCGCCGGACAGTGATTTCTTATGTATTTGGTTACCTAAAAGTTATTTGTTACTTGTATTGTCTGTCATGTAAGAGTGAGGATGTGCTACAGAATCAGTGTTTTCAATTATGTAAAACCAATTTTTCTGCATTGCATTAAAACTAACGTGCATTAAAGCTGAGAACCTGGATGATAAAATTATTCTAAAGTGAGGATATGATATGTGACACCTTCATAGGTTTAAAAAGTAGTAGGAAGCTTTAAAACACAAAGACATTTAAGACCAGTCCAAAATTTTAGGTGTGAAAAAGAAAAATACAATTAATAAACAGGGAACCTTGCATTTGAAAAAATGTGGTGACATCTATGCAATTAACTTAAACCAACACTTAATTTAAAAGCTTAAATTACTATAAACAGATATTTGCAATACACTATTTTAATTTAATAATTTAATATTGTTATTTCCAAATAAAATGCATATTGTGTATCGCGAAAATGTCTGGAAGTATCGTGATGTTATATTTTTGTCATGTTGCCCCCACCTACTGCTGGGGCCGTATTACAGAAACTTCCTATCCTTTTGTCTTAACTTAAGATCTGACAGGTCAAGATAAGATTTTTCACAAATTTGTATTACAGAAAAAGCAAAACTGATCTTGATTTAAGAATCTTGTCTTATCTTACAGCATCTTTTCTTATCTCAAGTTAGGAAATCTTAACTTTCTCAATTAAAATCGACAATCAACTGTCGTGTTTGTTACCTAGCAACCGACCATACGCGCACAGCTGAAACGTAAACACGTAATCAAGTTAGTTAGCCAGACAGCTAACGTTAGCTACTGTTACTGATGTAAAAAAAGGTCAAATAAAACTAAAGTATGATAAACTGAAAGTTAAGAATACTGTGAGAGCGCCCCCTGCTCTTTATCAGAGCGTCGGCGCTCCCCAGTTTCAGTCTCCATTTCCCAAACGCTTTAGCCGAGCGTGCTAACGTTACTCCTCCTAATAAACAGACACACGTTCAGCTCCGTCTCCTCATTATTGACCACCATCACTGTAATATTTTATCTGATGAGTTTTTATCAAACATTAAAACCTGACGGTAATAAGAGGGGACGTGTCGAGTCTGCAGCGTCTGAGTTCTTAAAAAACGCTGTAAAAAAAAAAAAAAACCTCACAAGTCAAAGCTCCGTTTTCAGTGTAGATAAATGTGGCGTCATTATGCTGGTTATAGTGAGCTGTGCTGCTTCTCACTGCATAAAACAATAGAAACAGACAGTTAAACAGAAGTTAAGATGCTCTGGAGTTTATCTTAAAGTTAAAAAAAATATTTAGGATATTTTGGAAACTTAGGATGTTTCTGTAAAATGTTTTCTTATCTGGAATAAGAGAAGATTATAGACTTCAGAACTGTTGTTTTGTAATGGCTTCTGTCCTAAATTCAGTCTTAACTAAAGTTGCCATGACAACAAAGCAGATAAGATATGATCTCAGACTTAAGAATTTTCTGTAATACGGCCCCGGGTTTCTAATTTAGAATATCTGCACAATCTACACTGTATAAATACTGAATAAAATTATTATTAATATGATACACGACTCCAAATGTTTGTGTCTAAAATGACAAAGTTGAAGTTGCTGATAACGTATCTCCTTAATCCATTATAAATAGTTAAACAGATAGATAGACAAAGATGAAAACAAGCTGAATTAGACGTTACCTTCTTACGAACCAGAGACATGACTCCGATCCTGGTGAGGACGTGCTGTCGGGACAGACCCTCTCTCGGTACACCGTCTGCGAATGTCTCCGCCCCGTCTGCTCCCGGCTCACACAGGTGCCTCATAAACAATGACACGTATGCTCTGAAACAGAGAGACAGACAAAAAAGGCACAGCATTAATAACGAACATTAATTAACCCTTAAATGCATGTACACTCATCGTCAAAAAAAATAGTTGCACCTAGAAGGAATCAACTGACAGGAATGTATGGAAGGCCATTGGGCTCAAAACATGTTTAAACATGCACGTTAACACGTTATTAATGTTTGCGCATTGACACGTAAAATTTAGTCGTGATCAAAAAAACATGTTTACATGTTTTTAAGGTTTCCACCAATAGGATGCCTCAATTCTGACATACATAAATATTCATAATAGGAATTACTTCAAACATTACAACCAAGACGAAACTCAAAGCCCCTTCGTTTCATTTGTATTATTCATGATACAGTGAGCTGAGCGCTTACCTATGGCTACGCTGAGCCAAACACATCAGACAGGGGAAATGACGTAAGAGTAACGTCCTCTTTAAAGAGGAGCCGATAAACTTAAACTTTTAGAGGGACTGAACCAGGATGAGTCTGGTACAGTGTGTGTATATCTAAAACCTTAAACTGTTGTTAAATAAATTAAAAACAGGATTTTTTCCATTATTTGGTCTGTTGGTTCTGTATGTTCTTTGAGCAATAACACCACCCCAGTAGGTGGCGGTAAAGCATCATGATTCACAAAGGTTTCCAAACAACAACTAAAATCCAAATACTGGAAATTAGTGTCTTAACAAGTTTCAACACGCAAATATTGCACGTTAACACTACTAATATTTACGTGTTAACACGAAATTACGTTGTATGTGTTAACATGGAGATTCCGACATGTTTTGAGCCCAAAGGCCTTCCATAGGAATGACACTTGATGGGTAGGTTTGACATCGTGAGACATGCAAATGATTCAAGTTTCATGTTCAGCAAGTAAGCAAGGACGGGCCTTATCGCTGTACCTGACTGACCACATAAAGTCGTCCCGTTGAGCGTACTTTCCACTCTGACTCGTGCTGTTGTGTTTGTAGCATCCTTCGCAAGCGAGGTTTGCCTCGAAGAACAGTTCGAAAGCAATTCGAGCAGCTGGAAGAGTTCGAGAGGGGTTGCACCGTAGGGCTCCGGGAAGCGGGATGGTCTTATTGACATATTGCGCGCCATACCGGTCAGATAGGATAGAAGATGGATAGAAGAAGGCGCGAACCAGCGACATGAAGGATGTGGGAGACCTACACGAACCACGGAGAGGGAGAACTGATGGATTGTCCGACGTGCGAAGTGACCCAACAGCCACGATTGCAGACATTCAGCGAGCAGTGATGCCCTCCATGAGTCATCCTGTTAGTGCCAGCACCACTGGCAGACAGCTGCACGATGCAGGACTACATACACGCAGACTATTGCAATGACTGCCCTTAACACCACATCAACATCGCCAAAGACTGCATGAAGTGACTCAGAATGGCAGCAGGTCATCTTCATTGACGAGTCCCACTTTTGTCTTGGTGGAGACGACCAACGAATCCGTGTGTGGAGGCACTGTGGTCAGCGCCAAGATGAGCAGTTTGCTGCCACGTGTCACATGTCCAGAAGGCCTGGTGCCGTGGTGTGGGGTACAATTTCGTACAATACCAGATCACCTTTGGTCTTCACTACAGACACTTTGACAGCCCAATGTTACGTTAATGAGGTCCTGCATCCAGTGGCCCTACCTTTTCTGAACGCACACCCCGGTGTGCTATTCCAACAGGACAGCGCTTGTCTGCAGACGGCTGCCATCTGAAGAGCTGCCTTGAAGACACAGATACTGTGCCATGGCCAGCTGCACCGCCAGACCCATCCCTGATTGAAAATGAGTGGGATGCTATTGGACGCACTATCAACACTACAACCCTACCACAAAATCCGCAGGAACTGCATGGGAATATTCAAGCTGCCTGGGATGCATTATTGCAGGACACTATTAGGAACCTCTAACCCTCCATGCCGAGACGTCTGGCTCGACGCCAAACTGAGATGCACTAATTCTGTATGTGTATCTCAATAAACATCACCCATATTTTTAACCATCTATTGTTCCCGGTAACCTTTATCTTCCTTCCGAATAGCATTGCAATCCGACACTTCCTTCTGGGTGCAACTATTTTTTGACAATGAGCGTATTTTCATATATTTTGTCACATATCCAAAAAAATGGAGGTCATGAGTTGCTAAGTGATGCAAGAAATGCATTTAAGGGTTAAATACGTGGAAAAGCTTGTTTGATACAGTGTATAACGGTACCTGAACTCCTTCTCACTCTTGCCCTTCAGGTCCCTGACCAGCCAGTGTGAGTTAAATGCGTCCTGTGGAGGCATCCCCCAGCGCATGATCGCATTCAGGAAGGCCTTCCTCTGACGTGCATTAAAACCCAGCACCTGGAGCACAAATACATGCAGACATACAGAAAATCCATCAATACAACCTGTACAGTTAATATGCGTATGATGAAAAATAAACTCTTCTTGTCTGAAGTGCATGCATTAAGAACAGAAGTAGGTGGAGCACAGATATAAAAAAATATACATATTAATTTACAAAGGCTATATTCACATTACAAGCCTCGTTGCTCAAATCCGATTTTTTGCTCAAATCTGATTTCTCTGACACGATGGTTCACACTCGTTTAGGTAAGTGATTCAAATCTGTCATTAATGTGATGAACCGGCGTCCTGAAATGACCCTCATGAGCTCATCCTACTCAGTAACGTCACGTGAATGAATCACGTGCATCATCAGCACAAACTAACGAGCAGAACGAGCTTCGCTGAGAAGATAATTAACTCTGATCAGCTCTCAGCTTCATTATTAGAGCGAGACGAAGGAGAAAAAGGTGAGATGTACATGCTTTAACTTCTGTTCGGCGCTGTTGCCATGGTAACGCTGAATGATTAATGATTAATTTCCAGGTCTGTTTTTTTTTTTTGCCCAAAAAGACCAGACTACCCACTTTTTCTGGCATGAAGCTTGAACGCTGAGTGCGTCAGACTACCAGTTAGTTGTGATGGTTGTGATGTCACCCATACAGAACATAGAGCATAGTTTAGTTGCTTCTGATTGGTCTAACTCATCTATAGGCAGCTTACAAGCTCTGTGTCATTAGTTATTTTTCCCCTTTAAAGCCTGTTAGAACAACATTGTTAATAATATATTATATAATAAAAATTGCAGCTCTTGCGATTCATCTTTCAGTTCTAATGTACTGTGGAAAATGAAGCAAGCAATCATGAATGATGCAAAAAGCCCCCTAGTGGCTTGAGGCCCAGGCACACGCCCTTAAAATCCATTGGGATGACCCAGGCCTGGGTTTATCCGACTGTTTTGCCATATTTTTTTTCCTAAATGTACTCAAAGCAAAAACTACAAAGCGCTAAAAGACTACATTACTTTGTGTAACTTCGAAGCCAAAACTGATGCTAAAATAAGGACAAAAGTCAAGTAAAGGAACAGATGTGATTAAGCCATTAAGAGAGAAACTATACTAGGTTTAATCACACTGTCATGATTTCAGCACTGAGAACTTAATATTGCTCCCACTTTGGGTCACTCCCCATCTCAAAAATCCTAATTTACACCTGACTAGGCAACTGTACAACATATTTTGACAATATGGATTAGCGGCTATAATGTTCCGTTACTTGTTAGCTACATTAGCCTCACAGCTCCAGCCAAAACTTCAGCAAACACTAAACATGACTTGGCTGATCGACTACATTTGGAGTAACTGTACAAATATGAAATTTTCCCAAACAAATCCTTTAACATGGTTAATGTAAAGTTCATGAAAATACCCACCTCTATATTTCCCCCTACCCTAGCCAGTAGTGGGGGCAGTGGTTTGTCCCGGTCACTCTTCAGCTGCCTGCGGGACTGCCGGCGCCCTCCTAATAAAGCAATGCAACATTTATAACCTGAAACGCCCATCAACCCTCACTTATACATTCAATTATCAGCCAGGCACAACCAAGTCGAGACATCTGTGTGGTGTGAGTTTATTGAAGTGGGTAAAGAAAATGTTACTCACCTTCAGGCCTCTCCTCGAAATCTTCATCCTCATCCTCGGACCCCACAGAGTATTCGGACTGATTGTCTGAAAGATCATCCTGCCATTCTGAGCGCCAAACCAGCACGAAATAGCACAAACATACATTCACTACTGCAGACGTCCCTGTGTTTGCTGTCCATCCAGACCCAAAGTAGCTCAAACATTGTACACAGAGGTCGTTCCAAAGTGTGTTGATATACAGTACTGTGCAAAAGTTGGAGACCACCCTTTATTTATTTATTTAATGTCCGGTCAAAACAGCAATTAACTACAACCCCAATTGCAAAACAATAGGGACGCTGTGTAAAATGTAAATAAATGTAAATAAAAACAGAACGAAATGATTTGCAAATTTCATAGACCCATATTTTATTCACAATACAACATAGAACACATATCAGATGTTGAAAGTGAGACATTTTACCATTTCATGAAAAACATTAACTCAGAACTTGATGGCAGCAATGCATCTCAAAAAAGTTGGGACGGGGCAACAAAAGGCTGGAAAAGTAAGTGGTACTAATAAAAAAACCGTCAGTCTCTCAGAAGCAAAGATGGGCAGAGGTTCACCAATCTGCAAATAACTGCGTCTTAAAATTGTGGAACAATTTGAGAAAAATGTTCCTCAGCGTAAAATTATGAAGACTTTGGATATCCCACCATCTATAGTACATAATATCATCAAAAGATTCAGGGGATCTGGAGAAATCCCTGTGCAATCCACAAATGCAAGATAAAGCTGTATCATGCAAATAATAAGCCGTATGTCAAGACAATCCAGAAACGCTGCTGTCTTCTCTGGGCCGAGGCTCATTTAAAATGGACTGAGGCAAAATGGAAAACTGTTCTGTGGTCAGATGAATCAAAATTTGAAATTCTTTTTGGAAACCACGGACGCCGTGTCCTGCGGACTCAAGAGGAGAGAGATCATCCAGCTTGTTATCAGTGCACAGTTAAAAAGCCTGCAGCTCTGATGGTCTGGGGCTGCATTAGTGCCTATGGCGTGGGCAGCTTACACATCTGGAAAGGCTCTATCAGTGCTGAACAGTATATAGAAGGTTTTAGAACAACATATGCTCCCATCCAGACAGCGTCTCTTTCAGGGAAGGCCTTGCATATTTCAGAAAGACAATAAACCACATACTGCATCCATCACAACAGCATGGCTTCACAGAAGAAGAGTCCAAGTGCTGAACTGGCCTGCAGGCCAGATCTTTCACCAATAGCAAACATTTGACTCATCATGAAACAAAAAATCCAGCAAGGAAGCCCCAGGACTGTTGAGCAGCTAGAATCCTACATCAGACAAGAATGGGACAACATTCCTCTCCCAAAACTCCAGCAATTGGTCTCCGCACATCCCACATATCAACAACACAGACGGTTGTTAAAAGACGAGGGGATGCTGCACAATGGTAGACACGGCCCTGTCCCAATTCTTTTGAGATGTGTTGCTGCCATCAAGTTCTAAATGAGTAAATACTTTTCATGAAATGGTAAAATGTCTCACTTTCACCAATAGTACGTGTTCTTTGTTCTGGTGTGAATAAAATATGGGTCTATGAGATTTGCAGATTATTGTCATGTTTTTATTTACATTTATTTACATTTTACACAGCATCCCAACTTTTTTGGAATTGGGGATGTACAAACATTTCCTTTTTCAGGAGATATTTCTGACGAGATTAGATATATCTAGTAAGTCAATGTCACCATCAGATAAATAGTACTTAAAGTTTTCATCTTTGAGAGGTAGGAGAAACTCGAGATCCACTATTTCTTCTGAAAAAAATCCACAGGTGTTTCTATCCTTCCACTATGAGAACTATAAGAGCTCAGCGCTGAGGGTTTGAAATAATGTGTTACTCTCAAGAAGCTGTTACTGAGAAAAGGAAAATCTCAACATCACTGATTGGGTTTGGGATTATTTGGTTCGTGAGAAGCAGAAAATGCAACCAACTTCTAGGACTGAACATTGGAGATGTGGAAAAATATATCCCTGCAGAATTCTTTGAAAAACTGAAAGCAAGTCTTCTAAAAAGAATGGAAGCTGTAGTGAAGGCAAATCGCTGTTGTCGGAAGAAAACCTTTTTCAGTTTTTGACATAATTAAAATACGCCTGTTGTTCTTTATATTGTGTGCAAATTTCATGATGAATGGACCAAAAGAAACGGGCAAAAATGACTTGGAAAAAGTCTGGTTCCATTGACTTACATTAGAAGTAAAGTAGGTTTTTTCCTTCTCCTGTAAAGTTACCATTTTGGAGATACAAGGTTTTCTTCTGACAACAGTGAAATGATGGATGTACTGAAATAATTCATATAATACTTTTTTTTTACTTTTGTACAATTAAAACACATATTTTCTGCTTTTTACCCCAACTGGAAAATAACTTAGTGGCTGTTCTGAATGGAAATAAATAGATGAAGGGTGGTCTCTGACTTTTGCTGTACTGTATGTGTGTGTTTCTATATGTGTGTGTGTGTTTCTGTGTGTGTGTGTGTGTTTCTGTATGTGTGTGTGTGTGTGTGTGTGTGTGTTTCTGTATGTGTGTGTGTGTGTGTGTTTCTGTATGTGTGTGTGTGTGTGTGTTTCTATATGTGTGTGTGTGTTTCTGTTTGTGTGTGTGTTTCTGTATGTGTGTGTGTGTTTCTGTATGTGTGTGTGTGTGTGTGTGTGTGTGTTTCTGTATGTGTGTGTGTGTGTGTGTTTCTATATGTGTGTGTGTGTTTCTGTGTGTGTGTGTGTTTCTGTATGTGTGTGTGTGTGTGTGTGTGTGTGTTTCTGTATGTGTGTGTGTGTGTGTGTGTGTGTGTGTGTTTCTGTATGTGTGTGTGTTTCTGTATGTGTGTGTGTGTTTGTGTGTGTGTTTCTGTATGTGTGTGTGTGTGTTTCTGTATGTGTGTGTGTTTCTGTATGTGTGTGTGTATGTGTGTGTTTGTGTGTGTGTTTCTGTATGTGTGTGTGTTTCTGTATGTGTGTGTGTGTTTGTGTGTGTGTTTCTTTATGTGTGTGTGTATGTGTGTGTGTTTCTGTATGTGTGTGTGTTTCTGTATGCATGTGTGTTTCTGTATGTGTGTGTGTGTTTCTGTATGCATGTGTGTTTCTGTATGTGTGTGTTTGTGTGTGTGTTTCTGTATGTGTTTCTGTATGTGTGTGTGTGTTTCTGTATGTGTTTCTGTATGTGTGTGTGTGTGTTTGCGTGTGTGTTTCTGTATGTGTTTCTGTATGTGTGTGTGTGTGTGTGTTTCTGTATGTGTGTGTGTGTGTTTCTGTATGCGTGTGTTTCTGTATGTGTGTGTGTTTCTGTATGCGTGTGTTTCTGTATGTGTGTGTGTTTCTGTGTGTGTGTGTGTTTCTGTATGTGTGTGTGTGTGTGTTTCTGTATGTGTGTGTGTGTGTGTGTTTCTGTATGTGTGTGTGTTTCTGTATGTGTGTGTATGTGTGTGTGTGTTTCTGTATGTGTATGTGTGTGTTTGTGTGTGTGTGTGTGTTTCTGTATGTGTGTGTGTTTCTGTATGTGTGTGTGTGTGTTTCTGTATGTGTGTGTGTTTCTGTATGTGTGTGTGTGTGTGTGTGTGTGTTTCTGTATGTGTATGTGTGTGTTTGTGTGTGTTTCTGTATGTGTGTGTGTTTCTGTATGTGCGTGTGTGTGTGTGTTTGTGTGTGTGTTTCTGTATGTGTGTGTGTGTGTTTCTGTATGCATGTGTGTTTCTGTATGTGTGTGTGTGTGTGTTTGTGTGTGTGTGTGTGTTTCTGTATGTGTTTCTGTATGTGTGTGTGTGTGTGTGTGTGTTTCTGTATGTGTGTGTGTTTCTGTATGTGTGTGTTTCTGTATGTGTGTGTGTTTCTGTGTGTGTGTGTGTTTCTGTATGTGTGTGTTTCTGTGTGTGTGTGTGTTTCTGTATGTGTGTGTGTGTGTGTGTGTGTGTGTGTGTGTGTGTGTGTGTGTGGGTGTGTATGTGTGTGTGTGTGTGTGTGTGTGTGTGTGTATGTGTGTGTGTGTGTGTGTGTGTGTGTGTGTGTGTGTGTACCTTGGTCCTCCTGAGAGGTGTCGTTGTAGTTGACCTGCTTGCGGATGCGTTTGCCTTTGCCCAGATTGCGGGCCAGGTCCTCTTGCTGCTGTTCATAATGATGCCGCAGGAGCTTCTCCCAGTAATCTGGATCCACATTCTCCTCCTGCTTAATAATCTCCCTCTGAACCTCCTCCTGCAGAGTAGTGGACATCCCAGACATACAAAGTTAAGAATAAACTGGATGGTCAGTTTAAGCCCCCCGCATACTTCAAATGAAAAAGTAAAACAAAATAACTGGCATTTCAGTTATTAATACTTAATGCCCATAAGGGATAGTTAATAGCTCATAGGGGTGAACAGCACACAGGCATCTGGAATGTATATTATCTTTCAAAGGTCTAGAGTCACGGTTTTCAGTAATAAAGTTACAGAAAACCACGATACATGTATTAAATTATTATATGATGCTATGATATACTACAACTTCAAAGGTTTTAAGTTGGTAGAAAGCTGCAAAAAATGAAGACATTTTAGATGTGGTCAGAATCATAAACAGACCTGCACTTTAAAGCTGATTCTAAAATGACTGTAAAACATTAAGTTATAATTAAGTTATAATTAAAAGTTATAATTAAAATCAATCTCCAGAATGAAGTTATAATAAAATTACCATCCAGAATAACGTTATATTAAAATTAGTATCTAGAATGAAGTTATAAAACAATTATTATCTGGCATAAAGTTCTAATAAAATTATGATCCTGAATAAAGTTACAATAAAATTACCATCTAGAATAAAGCTATAATAAAATTAATTTCCAAAATTAAGTTAGAACAATTTAATTCCAGGATAACATCATGATAAAATTAACATCTTGAGTGAAGTTATAATCAAATTAATATTTAGAATGAAGTTGTAATAAATTTATCATACAAAATAAAGTTATAATTAAAATTAATCTCCAGAATAAAGTTATAATTAAAATTAGTCTCAAGAATGAAATTATAATAAAATTAATATCCAGAATATAAAACAATTATCTGGCATAAAGTTCTAATAAAATTACCATCCCAAATAAAATTACAACAAAATTACCATCCAGAATAAAGCTATAATAAAATTAATTTCCAAAATGAAGTTATAACAAAATTATGTTATTAATTAAATAATTAATTAATGTTATGATAAAATTACCATCCTGAGTGAAGTCATAACACAATTAACATTTAGAATGGCGTTATAATGAAATTAATATCCAGAATGAAGTTATGATAATAATAATTCCTAGAATAGAGTTATAACCATTATTATTAATTATAATTATTAATGTTGTTTCAAGAAAATTACCATACACAACTAAGGAAACCTTATTTAAAAGAAGCCATTTTGGAAATTTCTGAAACTGTATCAACATCAAAAGTTTCCCCATTAAAAATGTTCCACATCACTACAGATGGCAGATGTGTGAGCAGTAGGACCGGAAGGAGACCCTCAGCCCCTCCCCTCACCTCTCCGTCCTCTTCCCGGACCACGTACTGCGCCACCTTGAAGGAGCTGAGATACTCGTTCATGTTCTGAATCTCTGTGTCCTCTGTGGCGTCTTGGCTGCGGTCCAGCAGTTTGGAGATGGCATCATCATCGTAGTGGATCACACTGCCCTCCTCTCCGTCCTTACTGTCCCCTACAGGACACACACACAGCTTAATTAACGCCACACACACACGACAGGCCACAGACAGGAAATACTGAGATACACTATAGGCTCAAAGTGTATAAAGTGTGGAAACAGCCTTGATTCTGGAAAAAAATACTTTTATTTTATATTTCTTTTATTTTTCAAGAGATAACGGACAGTAATGTGTTTATTAACCCAGGACAGACGGTGAGCGGTGTCCTACATGGGTGCAGCACCAGAGTCTACAGTAAGTGGTTGTTAATGAGTTTTGCTCCTGCTGACTCTCCTGCAGAGTTTTATTGCAGCTCTAATCAGATCCACCTGATTCCTCTATTAAGAGGCTCCTAAAGGCTCGATCAGCTCAGTCAGGTGTGCCAAAGTAGGACAAACAGTGTTACTGATGTGAAGCACTGGTTTAATTAAGCAACAAAAGCTTTTCGAGTGCTAATGGCGCACCCTTGTGGAGAATCTTCAGCCTGCTAAATGTAAGTGAGTGAATAGGTGAGTTACAAGTCAAGTCCAGGAGATGTTAAAGGGAAATTCCATGAATCTTCCTAAATGTTTGCAGGAGGAAACAGTGAAGAAGTAAACATATAGGCTATGTTCACATTACAAGCCTCAGTGCTCAAATCTGATTTTTTGCACTCGTGAACGAACCGGCGTCCTGAAATGACCCACATGAGCTCATCCTACTCAGTAACATCACGTGAATGAATCACGATCATCATCAGCACAAACTAACGAGCAGAACGAGCTTCACTGAGAAGATAATTAACTCTGATCAGCTCTCAGCTTCATTATTAGAGCGAGACGAAGGAGAAAAAGGTGAGATGAGCTGCTTTTCCACCGTTTACAGGCTTTAACTTCTGTTCGGCGCTGCTGCCATGGTAACGCTGAATGATGGCGCACGTGCAGTGGAGAAAAAGCACATGAACTCTGATCTGAGCGTCACATTAAGGTCGCATGGCCACGAATCGGATACGTATCCAATCTAGGACCACATATGAAAGTGGCTCAGGTCGGATTTGAAAAGATCAGATTTGTGTCCACACAGCCCTGAAAACATCAGATCTGAGTCACATTAGGGCAAAAAATCAGATTTACCACGTCAGCCTGGTAATGTGGATGGAGCCTCAGAAATTCAGAGTGGCTTGATGTGAAAGTGCCGTTCTAGAGAAACATGTCAGAACTGTTCACAGTGCTGGTGATAGAAGCAAGATATCAAAAGAGTTTAATGCCTCTAGACTGGGGTTCAATCCCAGCACCCTACACTATACCAATAAGAGTCCCTGGGCAAGACTCCTAACACTACCTTCACCTACCTGTGTAAAATGATCAGATTGTGAGCCGCTCTGGATAAGAGTGTCCAAATGCCATAAATGTAATATTACAGTAAATGCTTATTAATACACCCCCTGATTTCGGAGACTTTGTTTTCTGACATTTTTGTTGTAAGGTTTCTGCTTTTCACTGCTGTGTCTGATCCACTCGTACCAGTGCTGAGAATGATCCACCACCAAATAGTACCTGCTCTGTGAGGGTCCATGGGGGTCCTAACCACTGAAAAACAGGGTAAAAGGGGGCTAACAAAGTATGCAGAGAAACAGATGGACTACAGTCTGTAACTGTAGAACTACAAAGTGCACCTATATAGTAAGTGGAGCTGATAAAATGGACAATGAGTGTAGAAACAAGGAGGTGGTCATAATGTTGTGATCGGTGTGTATGTATATTTATATGGATGCATTTAAAAAAACTTGCTTCCTTAGTTTTGGCCTACAGTGCAAGCCATTTTATATCATTTGTTTAGCATGACGTTATTCTAGTTAGTCCATATGAGATGTTTAGTCTGTAAACATGAGCTTCTTGTAATTCCAGAAAGATACCTATAGCTTCCACATCATCTTTGAAGAGCTCCTCAGTGCCAAACTTGAGGATGTCATCCAGCTCCTGTTTGGACATGGAGCCCGTTTTGGACCCTAAACCTGGTCGCACTACCAGGTGGGTCAGCATCATCTTGCGTTTGGCCACCTGAGTGATGCGCTCCTCCACGGACGCTCGTGTTACGAAGCGATAGATCATCACTTTCTTGTTCTGCCCAATGCGATGTGCTCGGCTGAACGCCTGAAGAAAGAAAGAAAAGAAGACGTGGACTAAAGTCAGAGGAATTAAAGAGGATGAGTCTGGACATCATGTTATTCCAAAGTCTCTATATGTCCAAAAGTTTGTAGACACCAACATTTCCTCTGAAATCAAGGGTATTAATAGTATTTTTTTCCCCCTTTGCTACAGTAACAGTCTCTACTCTTTGCATTAGATGTTGAAACACTGCTGTGAGGATTTGATTGCATTCAACCACAAGAGCAGTAGTGAGGTCAGGTACTCATGTCGGCTGATTAGTTCTGGATCACAAGTCATCCTAAAGGTATCGGATGGAGCTCTATCACTATTTTTAATAACAGTCTGAGCCAGTCGGCCCTGCTGAGTCTAACACTGGAGTCAGAGTCTCTTCAGGTTGCTTCCTTGAATCCTCTTGAATCCTTTTTGATCCTGTCTGGTCAGTATCAAGCTGACTTTGATCTGTATTTTCTCTTATTATTGTGGATAATATTTGCATGGACGTTCGAGTTTGTGGCTGTAGTCCAGGCTGGTGGATTTTTGGGTCTACGAGGCCTTGGATATAGAAGCCCGACTGGACAGGCCTTGAACATAGCAGCCTGATCGGATATCAACATCCTCAACATCTATTAACTCCTGGTACATCCTGGTAAGACAGATTATGCCTCCTAAACACACTAAAACTTGTGAGGATGACCGGGTTGTCACAATGAGCGTTTCCCCAGTTATTGGAGCAGAAAGAGTTACATCTTCTGTTATGATCGCTGCAGTTTGATCGCTTGTTTTGTCACAGCTGGAGTACTGTCCAGTGGTATGGTCAAGTGCAGCTAAGAAATATTTAAATAAACTTTAAATTATACAGAAAAGAGCAGCCAGATTAGCTCCTCATTGTTCTTTCTGTGTTAATGTGTATGAAATGCATACATGATCATCATGTTTAATTGTGGAGGCTAAACTGACGTTTAGTCTTCTGCTATTCATGCATGTTATTTTATACAACAGTTAGTTCTGACCACTCAAGCTGATTGGTTGAGCAGTGTTCTAACTGTGCTGTTATTTCACCATAACATCACAAACACTGTATCACTCTGCTCAGATGCTGTTGCTAAGCAATGACTTTGACAGCTGTAGGAGACACTCAAGACATTTGAATGTTTTTACTTCTTACTTTGCCACAAACAAAAAATGGACACTTTTAAGACAGCCGATTTGGTCAGACTCTGAAGATGAGACGACACTAAATTCCCAAAGCTTTTCAGTCGGCAGCTGTGACAGAAGAACAGCTAAACAACCTGGAATCAGGCAGAAATGAACCCAATACCATTCGCCAAACTAAATGGGCTGTAAGATGCTTTACAGACTGGCTGGAACAAAACAACATTAATATTGATCTGACAAAACTGAGCTAAACCTGATATTGTGGCAGTTTTATGGCTCAGTCTGATTTGGTCAGACTTTGAAGATCAGACTACACGTTTGGCGAATGGTATTGGGTTCATTTCTGGCTGATTCCAGGTTGTTCAGCTGTTCTTCTGTCACAGCTGCCGACTGAAAAGCTGCTCAGTGGTGATGACAGTTTGGGAATTTAGTGTGAGGAGCTGGAGAACGAACTGCCGGCTGTGCAGCGAGTGGGCGGAGCTCGTTACTCTGACGCAGCAACAAGCTGCTCGTTAAGGAACTATAATTTGGTGAAGGAACTGCGAACATTAAAACATATTAAACGGCCCAGTTTATTAATTTATTACTTTATTTATTTAACTGTTGTATTAAAGCAATAGAACACTCGAGGAGTGTGTTATCGCCAATAACATCATGAAATAACGTGGTTATTTCGTGATGAAACCCTCCCTCTCGTGTTCTATTGCTTAAAGAAATAATACACCAAAGTTTTTTTGCGAAAAAAACCCCAATATTTTCAGGTTTTTGTCATGAGTATAATACACGTCAAGTGAGTTTGGGTCAGCTGGGGGTGCCAAGTCCACGGTCAAATAACTGTTCTTTATAGGACTTTTTTTTTGCTTAGAACATGATCCCTATTGACATCAAACAGATAATAAGTAGATTTTCTTTTAAAAAGCTATTAAAAGAATATCTGATGAACCTCTTGTAGATGTTACTGCGGTATTGTCGATTGTTGGTTTTAAGTGTAGGTTATTACTGGTTATTGATTCTCTTGTTGAGTATTAGATTTATTCTTGAATTTTGATTGGTTTTGTCTTGTTTATGATACAGGATGATTGTAAAGATGTTGCTATCCGATGTCGACCAGAGGAGGATGGGTTCCCCTTTTGAGTCTTGGTTCCTCTCAGTGTTTCTTCCTCTTGCTCTTAGGGAGTTTTTCCTTGCCACTGTCGCCACTGGCGACGCTCATGGCGGCTCAGACCCAGATTTTTCTGTAAAGCTGCTTTGTGACAACACCTGTTGTGAAAAGCGCTATAAATAAACTTTGACTTGACTTGTTTTATTTTTATTGTAATTGCATATTTGTGGAACCCTGGAAGACTAGCAACCACTTTGTGGAAGATGGGGATCCAAATAAAGAACAAAGAATATCACTCCAGAGGACACAGGTCCACTGCTTGGACATTGGACATGGTGACCTTTGGCTGCTCCAGAGCATCTCATTCTATTGTCAATGCTTTTCTACTGAGACTACACACGCTGTGTGTGCGCAACTGATCTTCTGTATCAGCAATGGGTCCACCTTAAAATACTGAATTCACTCATTAGAAGGGGTGTCTACAAACTTTTGGACACACAGTGTAATATACGTTATGTGTGGTTTAGCTAGTCTGTGTTTGTACCTGGATATCGTTGTGCGGGTTCCAGTCAGAGTCATAAATGATAACTGTATCAGCGGTTGCCAGATTGATCCCCAATCCCCCGGCACGTGTGGACAGCAAGAAACAGAACTGCTGCGCCCCCGGAGCTTCAAAAAGACACACAGGCAATCGGTGCAAATGTGTTAATGCACTAATTAGCAGGACGCTGCCCCCTGGTGGATGCCCCACACCCTTTCCAACTCTGTACACTCACCGTTAAAGCGATCAATGGCCTCCTGCCGCAGTCCCCCTGTGATGCCCCCATCAATACGCTCGTATTTATAGCCTTCAAACTCCAGAAAGTCCTCTAACAGGTCCAGCATCTTAGTCATCTGAAACAGGGTCCATAGAGGGAAGAGATATTTATTTTCACAACATGCTGAGAGTTTTAAACATGGAAATAATTAACATTTTTAAGAAAAACCGCAGCATTTTTCAACCTAATCTCCATCAGATACATCTGTAGCATAAAATCACTTAACACAGATAATAATGCACAACAGAAACAGACTTGTAACACATTCATAACTGAAAATAACAGGCTACTAAAACTTTTATTACAAAGCAAAAAGTTTTATGACTTCTATAAAGTATATAAATTATCATCTGTAGTAATTTTACACCTCTGTATTCCTTTAATTATTAATAGCTTAACCCTCTAAACTGGGTCAATTCTTCACTTTCATTATTATATACTTTCACCTACTACATAATTAAAAACGACCAAAAAAAGAAGTTCTTTGTGCTATTTTTGAGCGTAACTTACATATTAGTTATTAGATTCAAAGCAGTTACCAAATATTTTATAACTTATAGCAGTTATGGAGTAATACGCATTAACCCTCTATTGAACAATGTTGCCTCAGGGCAACAAACTCATTTTCCACACTTTACAATAATATTATACATATTTAAAGACAATAATAGGGTTAACAATAATGGGAAGAGTTTGAGTAAGTCAATAAAAAGCATGTGCGTGGTCATACTGTCTCTTAGTGAGCACTTTTAAACCTCTTTTTTAACATTCAGTATCATTTTTTTTGTAATGAGAATTTGCAGAAATAGGTTTGTTGCCTAGAAGCAACACTGTGTGACAACAGAATGGATTTAGCCAGTCACAAGCCAGGTCTCACCACTTCAGAGAACACGGCTCTATATCATTTCTTCCCATTGTCACACAATGTTGCCTCAAGGCAACACACTCCAAAAGACCCCTGCACACATTATTATGTTATTATAAATGTTTTTGAAGGTAAAAATCAGGCCCAATTATAAATAATCATAACATATAATATTAGAATTATATAATTTAATAATCAAGCACCATTTTATGCAAGAAAGTGGAGTTTTTAAATTGCCCTCATAATGCGCACAGTAGAGGCTTAAAGGAAAAAGCTCAAAGCGCACTTGAAACAGAAACCAATGAGCTTCTATTATAAGCAGCTGAAGCAAGTGCCCATTTGCTTTTATTATATATGTGCTACCAACGCAGATTAGGTTAAAAACACTGAACTCTTTTAAAATGAATAACTGAATAATAAGGGTTAACAGCATAACCCCCTACTGCAGAGCCTACAGAATGATATATAAGGCTCATTTTTTTCCATACAAGAGTGGGAAACAGAGCAAAATGACCAAAGTCAAGAGAAATCGTGTCTTTTTCTTTTGCTCTTTCCAAGCAACACAGATCCATTACCATCACTATGCAGATTTATGCACAAAAAGGACAAGGGTGGCGAAATGAAAAGTCAAATCAGAGGAAAATAAGGCACAGCTGCTTTAAACACCATCAGATTAATGCCCGCTGTGATTACGCACACAGTGTAATAGAAACACATCTGAGGAATAAACAATGAGGTGGAGATAAATATAGAAGCAGGCTTTTAATTTGTCATCTCTCATTTGGAAAGATAAATGTGCTCCATTCTCGTTCTCCATTCAAGCCCTACCCTGTAATTAATCTTCTGCTCAAAATAAGAGATATGGCGGCGGATGTAAACCGCTTTATTGTTATTCGCGCTGTTATTCTGCCTTCGTTAATGACCTGCGAGAAAATAAGGACCCGATGCCCTCCGTCTTTGAGCTTCTTCAGCATCTTCTGAAGCAGAGTGAGTTTGCCTGAGGACTTCACCAGTAGGTTGCCATCATAAGAGCCATTGGGTAACACCGGCGCCTCCTGTGAACACATTTACACAGCGGGGGACACGTCAAGCACTTCAATTCAGAGTCTGTGAAGAGCTAAAGAGGTTAAAGCGACAGTTCAGTGAAAAAATTTCCCTTTAGCCCAGATGTAGTCAATCAGACAAGACTTGTTTGGTACCTGAAGTTTTGTGTTTTTTAGTTTTGCACTGGAGATACAAGGTTAACTAAGCTATTTGGAATCAATACATACATACATACATCATCTAAACCGCTTATCCTTCTGGGCGGAAGGCAGGATACACCCTGGACAGGTCGCCAGTCCATCGCAGGGCAGACAGACAGACATACATATACAATCACACACACATTCACACCTAGGGGCAATTCAGCATGTCCAATTGGCCTGACTGCATGTCTTTGGACCGTGGGAGGAAACCGGAGTACCCAGAGGAAACCCACACAGACACGGGGAGAACATGTAAACTCCACACAGAAATGACCCTGGTCACCCGGCCAGGAATCGAACCCAGACCGTTCTTGCTGTGAGGCAACAACGCTACCCACTGCGCCACCGTGCCGCCCTGGAATCAATATATAAATTCAATTAGATTATCAAAAACACCCAGCAGTCTCTGTTTCATCTTTTCAAGCTTTATTAGCTGACTGTGTCAAGCCGACTTAAAGTTCATTCACAATTTTTCCCTTTTTTAGTTTATTTATTTATATTATTTCCCAAATGTTTACAGTAACTGTTCTATCTGAAGTCCTTCTCTGATTGAACTTCTTGTAGTTTAGGCTACAATGTTTGTGGCTTGAACAAAGGTGAAGTTTCCAAATACTAAATAGACAAACAAAATCCAATGTGACACACAAATACTCTAGTGTTCAAATTATTCAGGCCAGCCCTAAAAAATACTTTAAAAAAATGACCAAAAAAAGAAGCTGTTGGTGCTACTTTTGAGTGTAACTTACATATTAGTTATTAGTTTTAAAGCAGCTACCAAATATTTCATAACGTATAGCAGTTATGGAGTAATTAACCCTCTATTGAACAATGTTGCCTCAGGGCAACAAACTCATTTTCCTCACTTTACAATAACATTATCTATATTTAAAGACAATAATAGGGTCAACAATAATGGGAAGAGTTTGAGTAAGTCAATAAAAACCATGTGCTTGGTCAAACTGTCTCTTAGTGGGCACTTTTAAACCTATTTTTAAACATTCAGTATCAATTTTTTTGTAATGAGAATTTGCAGAAATATGTTTGTTGTGCTACTTTTGAGTGTAACTTACAGATTAGTTATTAGTTTCAAAGCAGTTAACAAATATTTTATAACTTATAGCAGTTATGGAGTAATACGCATTATGGCACAATTATGGCGCAATGTTGCCTCAGGGCAACAAACTCATTTTCCTCACTTTACAATAACATTGTACATATTTAAGGACAACAAAAGGGTTAAGTCAATAAAAACCATGTGCGTGGTCATACTATCTCTTAGTGGGCCCTTTTAAACCTCTTTTTAAACATTCAGTATCATTTTTTTTATAATGAGAATTTGCAGAAATAGGTTTGTTGCCTAAAAGCAACACTGTGCGACAGTGGAATGGATTTAGCCAGTCACAAGCCAGGTCTCACCACGTCAGGGAACATGGCTCTGGGTCATTTCTTCCCATTGTCACACAATGTTGCCTCAAGCACCTCAGGTTTTGTGTTTTTTAGTTTTTGCACTGGAGATACTGGAGAAAGGCTAATGAAGCTAAAAAGTGACAGAAGCTGATATCTAACAGTTAAATTTACATTACGGCCTAAAACTAGAATATACCATTTGCTGTGTTATGCAGTATTCCCTGGAGCAACATCCCTCAGTCTCATGGGTTTGACAGAATTCACAATTTTATATCATTTTCATGTTTTCATTCATGACTACGACGCATTACACAAACACAGCTAACAACCACTGGGAACCCCTGTAGTGCCACCCTGACTGCTAGCCTAGCCACTGGTCTATAGGCTAATAAATACAACCAAACTAGCATTACTGTGACTCTTACCTCAAATGTTAAACAAAATCTTAAAAAAACAGTGATTCTAGCTTTAGTGACACCTGAGACAGGTTTTGTCCCCTTCCATCCAAAGAAAAGAAGCCAAACTGAGGTAAAGTATCTAGATAGCAAGCTACTTTGCTAAATTTAGCTTTTAGCATATTGTCATCCTCATGTCGAGTCATTTCTGTCATGTGAGTAATCATTTTTTTTCACTGTAATGATGATTTGAAGACATTCAGCTATTCGGCTTCCTAGCAGTGATGTTAGCTATCAAGCTTACCTCAGCTTTAGACAGCTAGCATTAAAAAACTAAAGAATCCTATGAAAATCCACTGCAGAGAAGTTGTAGATCATTAAAAAGGTTTCTCCCACCTTCAAGACACGTTATCAGAGGTCTAGATACCACTGCGGGACCTCTGTAGGATGTAAACATGTTAGCAACAGCTAGCTAACCAGCTGCTGTAGCTAGCTAGCTTTTCATATTAGCTGGAGAGCTGCTGATGCTGTGCTGGATTAAAATTATCTATTAAACTAATTTACAAAGTATAATTAAAGAAAGGAAGGAAGCAAAAATCAGTAAATTGGACTGCAGGTGGAAAATAAGTGATGATAAGTGGAATTGTATCTAGTGCTCTGCTAAAACACTGGTGGGCCACCTGGAAAACGCTGAGCAAAACGCCAGTGGACCACCAGCTTTGCCATCAGCAGGCCAACAGTGGCCCACCATCCTCTTGCAACTGCCTCAGATTATGGCGAGTTACTAAGTAACTGTGAACACACTTGATTCTGTGTTCTCTGAAGCTGAATGACAGACTGTTATCTATAAAAATCCACTGCAGAGAAGTTGTAGTTAATTTAAAAGGTTTCTCCCATCTTCAGGATACGTTATCAGAGGTCTAGATACCACTGTGGGACCTCTGTAGGATGTAAACATGTTGTAGCTAACTAGCTTTTCATATAGCTGGAGTGCTCTTGCAAACTGGATGCGCAAGTGATCACACCCAGATAGCAGCATATATCGGTCCACTGGCTTGATAAGGTCGGCACCCCACTGACTGTTTGCCACTGCTGGTCCCCCCTCAGACCACCCAGATTACTGTCTTGCATGCGAGCTCTAACTAGTATCTCCTTAAACTGATTTTAAATGCACAGAGACTTTTATTTTAGAAAATACACAACTATTACAAACAACTGAGAGAAAAAAAAAACAAACTACCCAGAAAGCAGCCTGTCGCTGTTGTCTTAAGAAAACCTAAAAAAAAAATGGTAACTTTACAGGAGAAGGAAAAAACCTACTTTACCTCTAATGTAAGTCAATGGAACCAGAATTTTTTCCAAGTCATTTTGGGCCGTTTCCTTTGGTCCATTCTTCATGAAATTTACATACAACATAAAGGACAACAGGCATTTTCAAATGATGCCAAAAACTGAATCACAACAAAAATGGAGATTCGAGGTTTTATTCCGACAACAGCGATATATCGGTCCGCTGGTTTCATACGGTCGGCACCCCACTGACTCTTTGCCACTGCTGGTCCACCATCTGGCCACCCAGACTACTGTCCTGCATGCAAGATCTAACTAGTTTTTAATTTCCTCAAACAGATTTTATAAACGCACAGAGACTTTTATTTTGGAAAATAAACTAAGACAAAAATTACATACATCTGAGAAATGAAAAATAATGACTAGTCCTTATGTAAAATGATTTTATAGAAAACGTTGCTGACGCTGTGCTGGATTGAAGTTATTTACTAAACTAATTTACAAAGTTATAACTAAAGAAAGGAAGGAAGCAAAAATCAGTAAATTGGACTGTGAGTGGAAAATGAGTGATGATAAGTGGAATTTTTTCCTAGTACTCTGCTAAAACACTGGTGGGCCGCCTGGAAAACACTGAGCAAAACACCAGTGGACCACCAGCTTTGCCATCAGCAGGCCAACAGTGGCCCACCATCTTCTTGTACCTGCCTCAGATTATGGCGAGTTACTAAGTAAAGTGTGAATACACTTGATTCTGTGTTCTCTGAAGCTGAACAACAGACTGTTATCTATAAAAACAGACAAAGGTGCATTGCATAGCTGAGAACCCTGATAGCAGAGGATAATGGACCACTGTCGGCCCACTGATGGCAAATCTGGTGGTCCACTGGCGTTTTGCTCAGCATTTTTTGGGCAGCCCACAGGTGGTTAAGCAGAGTATTCGACAAAATTCCACTCATCATCACTCATTTTCCCTCACAGTCCGATTTACTCATTTTTCCTTCCTTCCTTTCTTTAGTTATACTTTGTAAATTAGTTTAGTAAATTATTTTAATCCAGCACAGTTAATCAGCAACAAGATTTTCTATAAAACCATTTTATTTCAGGCCTAGTCATGATTTTTTTTTCTCCTTGTTTGTTTGTAATATTTGTCTTTTAGTTTATTTTCCAAAATAAAAGTCTGTGTGCATTTATAATCTGTTTGAGGAGATTAAAAACTAGTTACAGCTTGTATGCAAGACAGTAGTCTGGGTGGTCCGAGGGGGGACCAGCAGTGGCAAACAGTCGGGGGGGTGCCGGCCTTATCAAGCCAGCGGACCGATATATGCTGCTATCTGGGAACGGCAATAAAACCAATTAGCCTGAATTTTTTCTTTTATTTTTTACACAATTTGTCATGTAGTGTCAGAAACCTTATAACCTTATGAGATTACAACTCGAAGAGTTTGAGGAAAGTACGTGATGGTTTAGGATTGCAGTTTACACAATGCTAATGGGAGCCTTGTAGATCCAGTGCAAAACTGGAGAAGCAAATTTCAGACACCAAACTCATCAACTACAACTGGGGGTTTGGAGAAAACAATGAAAATTTGATTTCTTGCTGAATTATGACATTGATACATACAGGATGAGGAAGCCCTGCTGAAAAAAACAGCACAGACTAACATGCATTCCATGCTAGTCTAAACTGGCCTAAGCTGGTTTATGCTGGTCTAGTCCTGGTCTGGTGCTGGTTTAGCTTGTCACCCAGCATGGCCATGCTGGTTGACCAAAATACCAGCATCCAAAACACAACATATCTCTGCTGTCGGAACAAAACCTTGTGTCTCCATTTTTGCCGTTTTTCAGTTTTTGACATAATTGAAAAATGCCTGTTGTCCTTTACATTGTGCTCAAATTTCATGCTGAACGGACCAAAAGAAATGACCCAGAATTATTTGGAAAAAAGTCTGGTTCCATTGACTTACATTGAAATTAAAGTAAGTTTTTTCCTTCTCCTGTAAAGTTACCATTTTGGAGATACAGGGTTTTGTTCTGACAGCAGCGAAATGCTGGTTTTACTGGTAATCAGCCCAATAACACTCATAGTTGCTGACCAGCATACCAGCATCGAAAACACAACATAAGCTGGTTATGCTGGTCACCAGCCATGCTGGTCTATGCAGATTTTTCTAGCAGGGTCAACATGTTCTAACATGCCCAGCAACCACAGTGGACTTAAGAAGGCCTTAATAAAGATTATGCAACAGAGATATGAAAGACCTTCTTGTTCTGTGAACATTAAAACTGTGTTAAAAACACTGGAGGTTTGTGTTTTTAGCACTGTCCCCTGTGGGCAGAGAAAAACAACAGCGTTTTCAGCGAGAGTCTCTTTTAAACAGCTGTTATGCAACTCTGTCTCATAGTGAGCTAAAAATACAGGAAGGCATTCTTTCGACTAAGGTGTAAATTGAGGTCAGTGAACCCATCCAGATTCTCTCTCCCCTTAACCTCTCCTGTCCTGACACATAAACTGCCTGTCACAAGTTTGCGTACCCTTTATCTCCTTTTGGAGTTTTTTTTTCCAAATGATGCTCAATTTTCTTTACTTTCCTTTTTTTAAGTCATGTTGAATTCAACCCACTAGCTAGGTCTCCCCTGGATCACACAGTGCTATCAAGCTGGCAGGGTGAAGGCTAGCAAATGAGCACCACTGCATCTTTTCAAACACTAACACAATGTCGTTGGAAGGCTCAACACGCTTGGAGGAGAATGCTAACTGCCAATCCTGTTACGTCAGCTAGGAGATGCCCATATTGACCAGCACTGTAATAGTAATACTGCACTAGCATGTGATGAGGGAATAAGGAGGATCTTCCTACCCACTCAGACAGAGGAAGGCCAATTATGCTCTGCTGGACACCTAATATTTGATTTTTAGTGCTACTAAAAGAAAAAGAAAAAATATCTGCAGTGGTTTTGTTTGCATAAAACAGCTTTGTGCGAATCCTTTGGGTATATTGAGCTTTAGCACTCAGCTTCATGTTCATCAAAGCATCTTCTTTGGTATGAAGATCAGGTTTTGCCTAAATATCAATGCAACGGTTTTCTTTTCCAAATTACAGTTTAAATCTTGTAGCCTGAACTGAAAGGTTTGAGTGCTGATGAACGCCGACGTCACAAGGGGATAAAATACGTGGCCAATTTTCTCAATTGATCCTTTGGTTCTGCCAGAAACCCATGTGAAAAAAAATGTGCATATATTTTCTCATATTAAAAATATATGTGCCACATATGTGTTGTTGTAAAATACATCTGCTACATCTATTTAACTGTAATTTTTTTAAATACTGAAATGCATGCCAATATATGCACATGCATTTAAATATATCAAAATATATGCACATATGTAAACATTTAATATTCAATATTTACATATACGTAAAAACATACATGGAAATAAATTGCAAACTTGACACATTTTGAAAAAACCTTTTTTTTGCATACAGGAAATGGCGAGATCTAAACAGCTGTCTATTGCATTTGTTTAGCTTTTTGTAAACTGACAAAGGAAACATTAATTTATTACAATAGGGCTGTCGTGATTAACCAATTAAACTTGATTAGAAGGTAAAAAAAATAAATTAATTAATATGTACCTTTTCGATAAATTGGCAGTAACTAGTTGTCAAATTGCATGATAATAATGCATATTTTAAATTCTCCTACTGGTCTCTCTGACAGTAAGAAACAGAGACAAGCAAACAGGCCTATCTGCATGCATTTTTTGCCAAATACTGTTTTAATTATGTTTTTAAGTCAATTGAAAGGCTTCCTAAAAACTATTTTGGAATGCTTGAAAGGCTGTGCATTTTTTTTTGTTTGCATCATTTTTTTAAACTGATCAACTGACTAATCATCAAAAAATATCAGTAAATTAATTATTGATTAATTTATTCAACAGTGACGGCCCTAAACGGCACTGTACTTTGGACACACTCACCACAGCAGCCACAGGGAACAGGTAGGGGTGATTGCAGCATTTCTTCAGGTCCATCATGATGTTGAGCAGAGAAACCTGGTTTCCACCTCCTTTAGAGTTCAGCGCCTCAAAGTTCCGCGTCAGAATGAACTTATAGTACTTCCTGTAAAAGAGAAGAGCAGATCACGTTCTAAGCTCCAAACCCTGTGTTTTATGGTATTATATTACATGCAAATAGGTCAGAAACACAAGAGCTTCTTTTTTAAACCACAGCAGGACACGACATCAGCAACCTCTATATTTATTATATAGTTCAACTCTTTAGAGACCAAACAGAGCTCTGGGTAAAGTGATAGGTGGGCATAAAATCTGATTCACACAATATTTCTTACCCCCAATGTCATCGATCAGTCATTAATGTTTGGTGTCCAATGTTTGCGTCTTTTGTGCTGCAGTTATAAGGGTCATGTAGCTAACCAAGCATCTAGTATTGTGCCTAAATGATCAAACGCTTGTCTCGAATCCTGTTGGGCCCTTTTTTAATCCTACACTTTTTTTGTATATTACCTTTTTTCCCCACTTACAATATTTGTGAGGATTTATGTACCTAAAACAGTAATAATTCATTTCTACATGAATATTTTTCAACCTCTCTTAATCCCTTAGAATTAAACATACTGTTTATCGCTGGTTTTGGAAGAAAATCTCGTATCTCCATTTTTCAGTTTTTGAGATAATTTGAAAATGCCTGTTGTCCTTTACATTGTGTGTAAATTTCAAGATGAGTGCACGAAAAGAAACGACCCAAAATGACTTGGAAAAATGTCTGGTTCCATTGACTTACATTAAAAGTAAGGTATGTTTTTTCCTTCTCCTGTAAAGTTACCATTTAGGAGGTTTTCTTCCAACAACAGTAATTATGTTCTGGTGCCATTAAAGGCATGATAAGTGATGACAATCCATAAACGTTTTGTCAAATTTGGCGAATATCTCCAAACAATCTAGCATTCATACACAGCCCTGATTCTGTAAAGGGGAAACAAACAAAGTGGCTCAGACCAAACGACACAACACTGACATTTATATGCACTTAATAATCCGATAACTGCAGAAAATCAGATTTTGTCAGTAATCTGATCAACACGTTTACATGCTCTTGAGTAATCAGATAATGGGGAAACTCCGGGTCTACATGAGTCAGGCGTGAGTCAATCAGAGTTCCACTTTACAACCAGCCAATAAACTCACAGAAGAAGACGTGACGAAATCATAATGTATGTATTTATATAATACTATTTTTACATTTTGATTAAAAACTTTGTACTATTTTCAATTAAATATAGGATTAAAACGAAATCCTATATTTAATTGAAAATAGTACAAAGACAACATATCAAAAGTTGAAACTGACAAATTTCATTGATTTTTGAAAAATATTTGCCCATTTTGAATTTGATGCCAACAACACGTTCCAAAAAAGTTGGGACGGTGCAACAAAAGGCCAGTAAATTTGTGTAATGCTAAAAATACACCTGGTGGTTAATTGGCCACAGGTCAGTAACATGATTGGGTATAAAAGAGCATCTCAGAGAGGCGGAGTCTTTCAGAAGTAAAGATGAGGAGGGGTTCACCACTCTGTGAAAGACTGCACCATCAAATAGTGCAACAATTCAAGAATAACGTTTCTCAACATGAAATAGCAAAGAACTTTTGCTTTTCATCATCTACAGTATATAATATCATTAAAAGATTCAGAGAATCTGGAGAAATCTCTGTATGTAAGGGACGAGGCCAAAAACCAGTATTTGCTGGCCGTGATCTTTGGGCCCTCAGGTGACTCTGCATTAAAAACAGACATGATTCTGTAGTGGAAATCACTGCAAGGGGTTAGAAACACTTCTGAAAACCACTGTCTGTGAAAACAGTTCATCTCTGCATCCACAAATGAGAGTTAAAACTCTAAAACGCAAAGAAGAAACCAAATATAAACTGGATCCAGATGCGCCGCCACCTTTTCTGGACCCAAGCTTGTTTAAAAAGGACTGAGGGGAAGTGGAAAAGTGTCCTGTGGTCTGACAAATCAACATTTGACATTTTCTTGGAAATCATGGACACTTGTTTCATGATGGTGTAGGGGGCATTAGTGTACATGGTATGGGTGACGTGCTCATCTGTGAAGGCACCATTAATGCTGAATGATATATACATGTTTTGGCATCATATGCTGCCATCCAGACGACGTCTTTTTCAGGGAAGGCCTTGATTATTTCAGCAAGACAATGTCAAACCACATTCTGCATGTATTACAACAGCATTGCTCCGTATTAAAAGAGTCCGGGCGCTAAACTGACCTGCCTGCAGTCCAGACCTGTCACCACTGTAAACATCTGGCTCAAATGAAAAATATGACAAAGGAGACCCTGAACTGATGAGCAGCTGAAATCCTGAATCAAACAAGAATGGAAAATATTTGACTTTCTAAACTACAGCAGCGTCTCCTCAGTTCCCAAACACTTACAGAGTGTTGATAAAAGAAGAGGTGATGAAACACAGTGGTAAACAGGCCCCCGTCCCAACTTTTTTGAATGTGTTGTTGGCATGAAATTCAAAATGTGCAAATATTTTCAAATAGTTTCAACATTTGAAATGTAGTCTTTGTAGTATTTTCCTTTAGAAATATCGTTTACATGATTTGCACATCATTGCATTCTATTTTTTTTTACATTCTGTACAGCATCCCAACTTTTTTGAAAATGGGGTATGTATATAAATATATATATATATATATATATATATATATAATGTATAAATAGATTGTGATATAAATATTTGGTTGTACCACCTATTAATATTGATAATAATACTGTTGCTAAAATTAAGGAAAAAGCACTTAAGAGGCACAGAGAGAAAAAAGGCCTCACTTCTGCATGGGGCTGAGCTCCACTCGGACAATGAGCTCCGTCTTTGCCGGCATGTTTTTGAAGACGTCCGCCTTCAGCCTCCTGAGCATGTGCGGCCCCAGCAGGTCGTGCAGCTTCTTTATCTGGTCTTCCTTAGAGATGTCCGCAAACTCCTCCAGAAAGCCCTCCAGATTACTGCGCAGACAATAACACAGATAACAATAACGGTAAAAAAAATAAACACGTTTATATACTTCATAGGGAATTACAAACGCATTCACTTAGCTTCAGGGACATTTCCAACAGGGACATTTCCAACAGGGACATTTCCACATATAAAACTGAAGTAGCCATCTTTTCTTGCACTATAGGAGATTTCCATGTGCTCAACGTTGCTCACTGATTATGAATCACGCTCTGTGTGTGCTCTTACTTGAAGCGCTCTGGGGTGAGGAAGTTAAGTAGGTGGAATAACTCTTCTAGATTGTTCTGCAACGGAGTTCCAGTGAGGAGCAGTTTGTAATAGATCTTATAGCCATTCAGGATTCTGAAAAACTGGAAAAAAAAAGGACAAGAGTGTGATCAACACCTTCTCTTGAGCCATTCACTGACTATAACCCAGCCACTAATGTTGAGTGAATATACTATATCTAAAACAGGAGAAGCATTTCTATAGATAACTGTGTCATACAGTTTTAGCAATAAGCACAAGTCTCACAGCTCCAGTGCAAAACTAAAGAAGAAGCCCCATCACTAATATGGAGTTACTGTACCCTCACAGAGCAGGTGGATCATTCTCAGCACTGCGGTAACACTGATGTGGTGGTGGTGTGTTAGTGTGTGTTGTGCTGGTCTGAGTGGATCAGACACAGCAGTGCTGCTGGAGTTTTTAAACACCTCAGTGTCACTGCTGGACTATGAATAGTCCACTAATCAAAAATATCCAGCCAAAAGCGTCCTGTGGGCAGCGTCCTATGACCACTGATGAAGGATTAGAGGATGACCAACACAAACTGTGCAGCAGCAGATGAGCTATCGTCTCTGACTTTACATCTATAAGGTGGACTGACAAGGTAGGAGTGTCTAATAGAGTGGACAGTGAGTGGACACAGTGTTTAAAAACTCCAGCAGCACTGCTGTGTCTAATCCACTCAGACCAGCACAACAAACACGAACACACCACCACCACGTCAGTGTTACCGCAGTGCTGAGAATGATCCACCTGCTCTGTGAGGGTCCATGGGGGTCCTGACCAGTGAAGAACAGGGTAAAAGGGGGCTAACAAAGTATGCAGAGAAACAGATGGACTACAGTCTGTAACTGCAGAACTACAAAGTGCACCTATATAGTAAGTGGAGCTGATAAAATGGACAATGAGTATAGAAACAAAGTCAGAATGTTATGCCTGATTGATGTAAACAGTTAAATAGAAATTTCACAAACTTTCTACAGAATTAAATGATTTAGACGTGAAGTCATTCTGAGTGGTTTGATGTGAACGTCATCATTCTAGAGAAGCTAACAGAGTCAGAACTGTTCACATCAATGGTGACAGGAACCAGACTGAAGAGCTCAATTTCTGAGACACTGTTTTACTGTTTTAAAATCGGTTAAAATCAGGGCGGAGAGGTTCATTTGACACATGAGAGAAGACAGGTGTAGGTTCACTGGTCATCTTAGATAGTAAATAAAATGGCTATATTTGTGTTAACACTGTGATAGAAACCCCTCGCTCCTATCACCGCCACTGTAAAGAATGCTGAGTCGGCAAGTTTCTACAACACATTTGTCTACAATGAGCCATTTCACATTCACAAAGTTTGGGCGTCCTAATCAAATTACATGTTTTGTAGATTTTTTAAGTGAAAGCAAGTTAACACATCCTTTACAGTGAACACACTTCTGCACATTTTAACGCACATTTACAGTTTATTCGTTCAGTTTAACATACTGGAAAAATACGGCCTATGTAAAAGTTATGGCACATTTTATATTTTATGTTTTTTTTTTTTTTCCCCAAAATGTTAAACTCTGTAAATAAATAGAAATTGTGCTCTAAAATGTGCAGAAAAATTGCATATTTAAATCGCTGTTGTCTTAAGAAAACCTTATATCTCCAAAACGGTAACTTTACAGGAGGAAGGAAAAAACCTATTTTACTTTTAATGTAAGTCAATGGAACCAGATGTCTTTCCAAGTCATTTTGGGATGTTTCTTTTGGTCCATTCATCATGAGATTTACACACAATGTAAAGGGTAACAAGTATTGTCAAATTATGTCAAAAACCAAAAATCAACACAAATGGAGAGGGTTTCTTCCAACAACAGTGAAATGTGTTCTCTGTAGAGGAAGTATTAACTTATTTCCACATAGAAAATAAGAAAAACATCTCATTTAACAGGGGTTATACTAAATTTTGCATACAACTGGTCATATCTGCCAATGCCGATAAATAGAAACAATTAAGTTGAATGGTTTAGGTATTACAGATAAATAATAATATAAATGATATTTATTTAAAGACGGTTACAAATGCAAAAAAAATGAATAAAATGCATTTTTTTTTATTTTATATTATTTTATATTATCATGGTAGCTCAATTCCAAACATTCTGTACTTTGAGAATACAAGTGTATGTCTTTAAATACTGGTTTGAAATATGTGTCAAATCTAAACATCTGTCCGATGCCAAGACATACAATACATAATGCTGCGGTCGGAAGAAAACCTTGTATCTCCATGTTTTAAAGTTTTTCAGTTTTTGACATGATCTGAAAATGCTTGCTGCTCTTTACATTGTGTGTGAATGTCATGATGAATGGACTAAAACAAACGGCCCAAAATGACTTGGAAAGACATCTGGTTCCATTGACTTACATTTAAAGTAAAGTAGGTTTTTTCCTTCTCGTGTAAAGTTACCATTTTGGAGACTTGGGTTTGATCCAACAGAAGCGATAAGCAAACATCTGCCAATTTGGTGATATGACAGTATTATCATGCATCACTAATTAAGTTCTAAGAGGTTCGCCGCCAGCATGGAATTACAGTGTATTAACACAATCAATACAGGAATCATTTACATAGTACAGCAGCTGTGGTGCCTTATAATGTGTAACGAACACCATGTCAGTCCTGTACCTTAGACTGGTTGTTCTTCAGTCTGTGGGCTTCATCCACTACTAGACAGGCCCAGCTAATGGAGCCCAGAATGGCCTGGTCAATGGTGATCAGCTCATATGAGGTTAGCAGCACATGGAACTTCACAGGAGTGTCTTTCTATGGGTTTAAAACAACCACAACAGCCATTTGACTACACACATACTCAACATCATCCAACCACAACTACAAAGGCAGGTAAATCTCCAAAGAAGCTTTTATTAAATCTAATATGAATGTCATAGCAAAAGGACTGAACCTCTAGACCTCTAAAGGCTACTGTTTCAGACGCAGAAAGACCTTTTACCTTCATACGGAAAACCTTGCGTCCAGATTTGACGGCACTGTCCTCAAAGGTGAACTCGTTCTCCCGTATAACTGCCCGGCTGTCTTTGTCCCCTGTGTACGTCACCACATAGAAATCCGGTGCCCACATCTCAAACTCTCTCTCCCAGTTGATAATGGTGGACAGAGGGGCACTGACCAGAAAAGGCCCCTTAGAATGACCCTGAAGAGAGAGATGAGCTTAATTAGCGAACTGTATTTAAGGTCAAATAAAATCAATTCACATCACATTAACACAGATTCGAAGGTGAGTGTAAATCTTTGTAGCCCCCCCCAAAAAGCCCCTAAAAACAATATACATATATATATATATACGCATGAGACTCTAAAGATACACATTAATATACACCAGTATTGCACCATTCATAATGTACACTTTTGTAACAGTGATATAGATTATTAAATGAAAGCTATGATATGTAGAATTGATAGGTAGATAAATGAGAAGTAGGATATACAGGGAATAAAATATTGATTATACATAAGAAAATCATAAAATATAAAATGATTTTTGGTCTATTACCTAACAGGTACACATACTGCTAGAAGCAGATACCGATATGTCCACATATGCCCTCGGTCTAATGGCGAGTACCAACAGCTTACCAAAGCTTTGACTGACAGCAACCAGTCAGGGTTGTGTTTGGATAAATCAAAAGCGCTTTCTGATTGGACCAGTTCAAGCTTTCCTATTGGTCCATCAATATGCTGTCAAAACAGGGTCAAAAACCCGTAGTTGTAAAAAGTTCACACAAACCTAAACGGAGACGTGTTGGCGGGTTTGTACCGTCACACAGAAAAACTCCCGCTGTCACACTCGGAACTTCAAACTATTCATGTGATTTTATGTTCGGGCACAATGTGAATCATTTGAGTAGTACTGATTCACACATTCACAACATTTCATTTACAAATGCCTTTTTTACACATTCAAAAATGCATCCAGGTTCCAAATGATTTGTGAGTCTGGATTTTACATGCATGTAGTTGCTCAAACACAACTGCAAATTTCAGTACATTTTGAATATCAGTTTACAAGCTCTAAATCTTTTTTGACCCTTTTTCTGACTCCACACTAATTGTCTTATAAATGCTTCTATTACTTGTTAGCTACATTAGCCACGTAGCATCCATAGAGTCCATAGAAAACCAAAGAAGCAAACTTCAGACACCAAACATTTCTCGGCTATTTGTCTACGTTTACGGTAAGCGGTAAATTGTGTGAATTAGAATTTTTACCAAACTTTTTTGGTAACGCTTTCTATGAATGTCACATTTGTAAGCATCTGTAAACACATTCATAACATATTATAATGCATACATAATGCATCATAAACATGGTTATAAATATTTATAAAAATGAATTACACTGAATTACACTTTATATGCATTATAAGTAGTGTTAATAACAAGCTATATTGTCAGGGCAAAGAAGTCAGTCCCAGCTTGGAGAGTGTAAAGTTAGATAAATACTAAGTTAATTTACACCCTGAGATTTCCAGTAGTTTATTTCTCAGCGCTGGTGCTGTTAGAGCTGCATCTTCAGGGCTTCAGTCCTGAATATTCGGTTGCTCCTTCAGGCTGTCCAGCCTAGAATTACTGCTACAGTGAGCTTTTCTTACCCAGCGTCTCACTTTAAATGTTTACATTACATCACAGCAAACCAAGTACCCATCAGCCCCTCCCCTGAACCCCCTCTGACATCACACTGAGCGTGAAGTCACTGTGGAGTGAAGGCCTGGAGAGGGAGAGGCGAGACAGTAGAGCGCTGTCATTGTAATTTGTTCCCTTACTGGTTCTAACGTCAAGCACTAGAACTCTTCACTCTGTAACATCACTACACTACAGTACAGTGATGCTAATTTCTGCTAGCATTCTATTGGATATGCAGTGTTAAGTTAGTGCCAAGCTAACGGTGGTGCACATTACCTTTCCCACATTGGGTAAAACACTGATGGCAGCTCTAGTTTAAACTCTGACATTTGAAGCCTGTAATGTGCTTTACTGTGAATGTTTTAGTGTTTCAGTAAATCCTTCAGTAAATACTTCAACTTGAAGCCTCACTCTGAACACTGGAGGAGGCTTTAGTACAGTACGCTTCACTTTACTTAGAGCGGACAAATACGACTGATGAGCTCTTATAATTTGTTATGAACAGTACTTATAATGTATTATATTAACAATTCATAATGCATAATAAAGCATAGTTATAACGTGTAATGCATGTTTATAAATATTTATAGCCATGTTTATGATGCCTTATGAATGCATTATAACATGTTATGAATGTGTTTATAGATGCTTTCAAACGTGACATTCTAGAAAGTGTTACCACTTTTTCCTTAAGCCTTCACACTTCTTAACACAACATTTCCTCCTACATTTCTGTTTCCACACTCAAGACTACATTCAAGTCTCAATCAGTGCACTTCGAGCACAGAGGCTGGAAGACGATTAATTGAGCGCTAATTGAGTGAAGGGTGCTAATGGAGTGACCACCTCTTTGTAGAGTGAGTAGAGGAACACTATAGTCTGGACGGTCTTGCCCAGGCCCATCTCATCAGCCAGGATGGTGTCGGTGCCCTGAGCCCAAGAGAAACGCAGCCAATTCAGGCCCTCCAGCTGGTACGGGTGCAGCGTTCCCCCCGTGGCATTGATGTACCATGGCTGCTGGTCAAACTTGATAGTGGGCTGTCAAGCAAACATTGTAGAGAGAATGAAAGACATGATCTAGAATTAAACGATGAAAAAGCTTCCAAATGAAGCAGTGAAAGCTTCTAAATGATTGGACTAAATACAATGATACATTTTAGCTGTGCTGACAAATTCAGTGACTCGACGTACATCGACAACTGGAGTTTCAGGAGGAGCCTCTTTCCTCTTCACTTCCTCTTTGAGTCTCTTCCCTTTCCTCACCACTAGGGGGCGCTGGTCCTCGCCAAGCATCTGCTCTCTTAAACAACACAGTTCCGGTTGGTGATTATGAGGAGAGTTGTGGTAAAGAAGGGTTAGAAATTTGATGGAAAAATATCCAATTAGTTATATCTGATACTATTAATTTGACATTATATATATATATATATATATATATATATATATATATATATATATATATATATAATGACTAATAATATTACAAAAATCTCATTTTTTTTAAAGCATTTGTCACAATAATAGGCACCGCTGTTCGCGTGACCAAAATGCGTAAAGCATGTATTTATATGTCCACCTGAGTGTTGGGTGAACTCTTATGTCTGAAAATGCCCATATCTGTTAAGGCAATAATAAAAGAAGTTCAAATAAAAGAAGTTTAACCTCTTTTCTCAGCAGCCACAAAATGCAGTTTCAGCCCATTTTTAAAGTCCCTCAGTTTGGCCTTGAATGTTAATAATATTAATTAAATAAGATATTTGAAAAATCTTTCAATTAAACTGAAATTCTATTTAGAATTCAACCTTTTTGATCATGTTGCTAAATTATACAACAGTTAGTTCTGGCCACGCAAGCTGATTGGTTGAGAAGCGTTCTAACTGTGCTGTTATTTCACCATAACATCACAAACACTGTATCACTCCGCTGAGACGCCGTTGCTGAGCAACGGCTTTGACAGCTGTAGGAGACGCCGACTCTGACTGACCCAAAAATCTGCAGACTAGAGCCGACCAGCTCAGACTCAGCCAGACTGAGAATCGGGGTTAAAATCGGGGTAAAAGTCGTACTGTGTAACCCCAGCTTTATAGCAGACTTCTAATTGTTGTTATGTTGGCAAAAGAAGGTTGCACAAAGTGCTAAATGCAGGGGTGCCAATAATTGTGACACATGTGATATCTGTAAAAGTATTGATCTATGTACTTAAATGTAAATAAAACTACCATTCTATTTGGTTTAACTTACCTGTGGTCCCAATAGGCCTGTTTAAAGCTCTCATAGTCTGGGACGTCAAATTCGTCCACCTCCCAGGTGCACTGGTCATACGGCAGGTCTCTCCATTTGATCAAGTAATGAACGTCTCCATCCTTATCGAAACTGCATCACAGCACAGAGAGATCAGGTCAGAACTAACCAAGAATGCAGGATATGTGCCACAACTGAATTCCTCCCAGTTAGCATAAACAATTATCCAGCACTAGGATAATAAGATCTACTAAGATAAGATAAGATAAGATAAGATAAGATAAGATAAGATAAGATAATCCTTTATTAGTCCCACAACGGGGTAATTCTCAGTGCTACAGCAAAGGGAGAGCAAGACACTAAAGAAAAGTAACAAGAACAGAATTAACAAGCAAGTAATTACAGTTTGTTACCTGTTACTTTTAGAGAATATATATAATCCTGAAAGTAAAAAATAAGATAAAAATATAAACTCTATCCTTCATAAAAATTAATAAATAAATAAAAGCTAATACTAGACATGCTAGAAAACAACAGTTCTAATAAAATTTCTGAGACATAGAAGAGAAGAACATTGGTCCATAAAAGAATCCATATTTACATTTTATTATATATTTATTGTACAGGGAGATTCACTCGAAAGAGGCCCCGAATATTCTGTAATAACTCTCTCTAGGACGAAGCAATCTGAACAAAACAATGTGCAATGACCTCCTCAGTATATGGAGTTTCGAACAAACCGGGACGCCGCTGCATCGGAGCAATGAGGTAGGCGCCGGACAGCTGTTGCAACATTTAACCTCTGTTGCATACCCCCGTACCCCTTTTGCCACTCACCAAAAACCACTCCGTGACTACAAAGTCGGTGTATGGAGCTCGATGTCTCAGTTGCGCATCATAGGCCCCATTTTAACTGACACCACCGTGAACACCGATGTGTACCTGGACATTTTTGAACAGTTTGTGAATCAACTGGATGATCGTGAGTTAACGGATGGTTACTTCCAGCAAGACGGAGCAATGTGTCACACATCGGGAAGGAGCACGGCAGAAAGAGTCCTTCTTCGGCAACAGGGTAATTTAAAAAAGGGGCTTTGGCCACCATGGTCGCCGGATCTGACACCATCAGACTTCTTCCTTTGGGGTTCCCTCAAAGAAAAAGTCTACTGGAACAAGCCACACATTGTGGAAGATTTGAAGCAAAACATCCAAAGTGAAGTTGCTGCTAATCCCCCTGATATGCTTGCAGATACGTTCAGGAACATAGAGCGCCGCGTCGAAATGTGTCTGGCAGAAAACCGAGATCACTTCCAGCATCGCATGTAATGCAATTGATTACACATACGTCAAGGTATGTAGTGTATTTTTTTTGTAGCTTCATCCTAATGGGAGTTATGACAGAATATTCGGGGCCTCTTTCGAGTGAATCTCTCTGTATCTTTTGTTATACATTTGTGTGGTGCACCAAAAGAAATCCATTTTTACCACAGACCGTTAAGTTCTGACTGAAATCCTCAGGAATGATGGAAAAATGAACCTCAGACAACACCTTCATATGTGTGGATCCTTTAAAAGGCTGCAACAATTATTTGCCTTCTGACAGACAGGAACAGCACAGCGTTTAATCATTCCCTCCACTCTAAAACTCTGCTACTGAGTGCCTGCAGTAACAACACTCCGCATCACTTCGATGATAATGAGCGGAGCTAAACTACTGTAGGTTTAAAAGGTGCGGTTATTGACAACGTTTACATAGCACATCACACTCTTAATGCAAAAAAACAATAATAACGTGGTTTTATACTTCAAACTAAGCACCTATTTAACCCACATCAGATTAAGTTAAGTGACCCTTATTAGTCCCACAACGGGGAAATTTTACCTCCGCATTTAACTCATCTGTGCAGTGAAACACCACATACACACTAGTGAACACACACACTTGGGCCAGTGAGCACACCTGCCCGGAGCGGCGGGCAGCCCTATCCACAGCATCCGGGGGTTAGTTGGGGGTTAGGCGTCTTGCTCAAGGGCACATCAGTCATGTACTGTCAGCTCAGGGGAGCGAACCGGTGACCTTCCAGTCACAGGGCCGATTCCCTAACCTCCAGCCCACGACTGCCCCCATATACGCCTGCCTAACCTGTGGTTGAGGATCCTATGGATGATCATCCACTCAGGTTTGATGCCGTAGCGGTAGAATCGCTCCTCCATGGCGGCGTACTGCGGGTCTTTACTTTTCCTCTTCTCGTTGTTGAGTTCCTCCTCCCCAGAGCCGTAATCGTATGGTGGGGGTTCATCCATGTCGTTCTTCCTCTGGTAGTTCCGGTACATGACCGTGTGGTACAGCTCCAGCTGCAAGGACAGAGAAAGAGACTCTCTGTTAAGAGAGTAATGTAAACACATCTGCTTTAACCCTCTACTGCAGGCATTATGAGAGCAATTAAAAGAAAAATATTCAGCTCACTTTTCTTGCATAAAATGGTCCTTGATTTATTTTTTCAGACCCGATTATTAAACTAAAAAAACATTACAAAAAAAACAACGTGTGCAGAGGTCCTTTTGGAGTTTGTTGCCTTGAGGCAACATTGTGCGACAATGGGAAAAAATGATATTTGAAGGAAAACATCCAACGTGAAGATGCTGCTATTCCCCCCGATACGCTTGCAGATACGTTCAGGTACATGGAGCGCCACGTCGAAATGTGTCTGGCAGGAACAATGTGTGCAGGGGTCCGTTTGAAGTTTGTTGCCTTGAAGCAACATTGTGCGACAATGGGAAAAAATGATATAGAGTTGTGTTCCATTCCACTGTTCCCAATCCATTCCACTGTCACACGATGTTGCTTTACGGCAACAAACATATTTCTGCAAATTCTCATAACAAAACATTGTCACTGAACATTAAAAAAAGAGGTTTAAATGTGCCCACGAAGAGGCAGTATGACCAAGTACATGTTTTTATTGACTTACTCAAACTCTTCCCTTTATTGTTAACAATATCGTTGCCTTTAAATATGTATAACATTATTGTAAAGTGAGGAAGATGAGTTTGTTGCCCTGAGGCAACATGATGCAATAGATGGTTAAAGGACCCATAAGATTCATTTTTCTTGTATTTTACCAAACAGTTTTGTTTGGTTTTATGTACCAAAAAAATTATAATTCATTTTTACATCATCATTGTCCAACCTCTCTTTGAAATGTTGGATGTGTTTGTGCGGTTAATGTATACAGAGTCTTGGTATTGTTCTGTATCACCATAGGGCAGAAGCACTGCAATAGGTAGGGTGATGGACTGCTTGTCAGGAATAGCCAGTAGCCTGATGTTTTGACACTGTGGGACACAGCATGTTTGGAAACTGTATCAACCAAGCTGGCCTACTTACTTTTCACAGACCAACCCAAAGATGTATTTCTGCTTATGCCACTGGTTTCAGCATCTTTCCATCAAATAACAAAGAGCGCTTTCTTCCTGAATACGTTTAAAGCTGGTTGTGGGCGAACGAGCGATCTTGTAGAGGAAAATCAACAGGTGGTCTTGCCCAGATCTAGAGATCAGTGTTCATGTTCATGGCAAGTCATGTACACTGATCAGGCATAACATTATGAGCACCACCTAACATTATTCTACACTCATTGTCCATTTTATCAGCTCCACTTACTATATAGGTGCACTTTGTAGTTCTACAGTTATAGACTGTAGTCCATCTGTTTCTCTGATACTTTGTTAGCCCCCTTTTACCCTGTTCTTCAGTGGTCAGGACCCCCATGGACCCTCACAGAGCAGGTACTATTTGGGTGCTGGATCATTCTCAGCACTGCAGTAACACTGATGTGGTGGTGGTGTGTTAGTGTGTGTTGTGCTGGTCTGAGTGGATCAGACACGGCAGTGCTGCTGGAGTTTTTAAACACCTCAGTGTCGCTGCTGGACTGAGAATAGTCCACCAACCAAAAATATCCAGCCAACAGTGTCCTGTGGGCAGCGTCCTGTGACCACTGATGAAGGACTAGAGGATGACCAACATAAACTGTGCAGCAGCAGATGAGCTATCGCCTCTGACTTTACATCTACAAGGTGGACTGACAAGGTAGGAGTGTCTAATAGAGTGGACAGTGAGTGGACACAGTGTTTAAAAACTCCAGCAGCACTGCTGTGTCTGATCCACTCGTACCAGCACAACACACACTAACACACCACCACCACGTCAGTGTTACTGCAGTGCTGAGAATGACCCACCACCCAAATAGTACCTGCTCTGTGAGGGTCCATGGGGGTCCTGACCACTGAAGAACAGGGTAAAAGGGGGCTAACAAAGTATCAGAGAAACAGATGGACTACAGTCTGTAACTGTAGAACTACAAAGTGCACCTATATAGTAAGTGGAGCTGATAAAATGGACAATCAGCGTAGAAACAAGGAGGTGGTCATAATGTTATGCCTGATCAGTGTACATGACTTGCCATGAACACTACTCTCTAGATCTGGGCAAGACCACCTGTTGATTTTCCTCTACAAGATCGCTCGTTCACCCACAACCAGCTTTTAATGTATTCAGGAAGAAAACGCTCTTTGTTATTTGATGGAAAGATGCTGAAACCAGTGGCATAAGCAGAAATACATCTTTAGGTTGGTCTGTTAAAAGTAAGTAGGCCAGCTTGGTTGATACAGTTTCCAAACAGGCTGTGTCCCACAATGTCAAATGTAACCTCACCTGTAGCCTCAAATGTAGCCTCACCTGTAACTCGCTGACCCAAGAACAGTGCCAGTAGGACAGTCCAGACCACTTAACAAACAGCAGCCTCTCCGGTCGGCCCTTTAGCGGGGGTTTGGCCACAAGTTCTGGCTTCTCTCCGTCCCGGGCCGGAGGAACTTCGGGGGGTAACGGAGGATCCCCCCACATCCAGTGCAGAATCCTCTGAACTTTGCCTTTAAGAGGGGGGCACTGGAAGGATAATGGAGACATCACTGTAACGTATTTGATTTCACTGAAAACATTGATAATGTCTGCAGTAAGAACTACAGTGATGTACAGCGTATAAGGCCCTTTCACAGACGCAGTTAAGGCCTAGTTTTTGATTATATGATGTGATATTGTGATTTCCTATTTAAAATCCTTTTATCCTAGGCTTAAAACGCATCACAGGTGCCCAGTTATTGTCCATAAGCGCTGCCTGGGCAGGGCAAGGAATGTCATCAAGGACGTTTCTCATCCTAACCATGGACTTTTTACCCTCCTCCCATCTGACAGGGGTTACAGAAGCCTCTGCTCCCGCACCAGCCGGCTCAGGAAGAGCTTCTTCCCTGAGGCTGTGACCCTGCTGGACTCCTCATTGCTGGACTCCTCAATACACCAAGCTTGTCTGGACTTTTTTATAGTCTCAGAATTTTATTTTGGCCAAAAATGAGTACAGACTTACTTTTATGAATATTAATTAGAATCTATGTTAACAGATTCTAACATTCCACAAATGACGCAGTGGAATATCAATGTACCACAAACTCATCAGTGCATTTAATACTTTTGACCAAAGTGTCCCTTTAACTTAAAACATGCCAAACATTCTGTGAGAATAGGAGGAAGCATATCGCTGCTGTTGGAAGAAAACCGTGTATCTCCATTTTTGTTGTTTTTCAGTTTTTGAAAATGCCTGGTGCCCTTTACATTGTATCTGAATTTCATGATGAATGGACCAAAAGAAATGCCCCAAAATTACTTGGAAAGATGTCTGGTTCCATTGACTTACATTAAAAGTAAAGTAGGTTTTCTCCTTCTCCTGTAAAGTTACCATTTTGGAGATACAAGGTTTTCTTCTGACAACAGCGATATAAGAAGACCTCACAACTCATAAACTTTTACGCTTTTTTTAATCATTTAAAAATGCCAGCTGCCCTTTACAGTAGCCACGTTTACACGCAGCCTAATAATCCGTTAATAAACCGACTAATAGTTCAATCGGAATAGACTCTGATTGAGGGCATTCCGAATACAGTTTCTATCCGACTGATCGAGGTGGGTAATCCTGTAAATAATCCGTTAAATAGAAGAATAATATCCGTGTAAACGCCTGTATCTGATTACATTCCCTATCGGAAAGTCTAAGTACGTTCTGATCATGTTCGTCACGTCATAGTGAAAGTTTATACCGTTCAACATGGCGGAGCAGAAACTGGTCTGCAGAGGAGACGAAGTTTCTGCTCTGATCTTTAAAAGACGGCGGTGGGACGGACGTCCAGCTTATGTGTCTCAGAACACGACGTCTTCCTCTCGGCCTTCTTTAATAAGGACATGTGAAGGACGTTTTCCTGAGTCTGACATCATTTTAAAGCAATTAAAAACACAAGCGCTGCTCACTGCTGCTCGTCTCACTCTGACTGGACTCACGTGATGATGGTTGTCACGGTAACGTCTACACTAAGTGGTGCTCTATGCATGAGCATCATTTTGGATCGGATTAGTTGTAGTAAGCATGTAAACGAAGGTTGTCCATCAGATTGTTGAGTGAGAATAAACACCTCAGTCTTAGTCTATAATCAGAATGTATTCAATTGGACTGGCAAAAATCTTTGCATGTAAACACAGACAGTGTGTGAATATTTCATGAGTAACGGACTGACAGAAATTTTGAATTTGGATTGGAATTTTATTCCCTTATAGATGTTAACAGATTTTGGGTCAAATGGCAATGAATCCATGTCTGGCAAAGCGGTTCGAAAAACGTTTTCCTCCTCCTTCAAGGTTCTGTCTTCACAAAAATGTGTAGGTTTCTAGTCTGTGTGTGTCAACGTGCATGTCCTCACCATACACCGCGGACACAGCCACTCTCCGTTGGGTATCTCGGGCAACGGCGGGTTGAGGCAGTGGATGTGATAGGAGGAGGGACACGTATCACAGCACAGCAGCTCCCCACCATCCTTACACACTCGACAGAACTCCATGTGGTCATCTTCTTCCTCACCTGCAGCATCCTCCTCCTCTTCCTCATCATCTTTGGCCTCCCACTGAATGCCCTCCTTCTCCTAAAAGATGACATGAGCTTGTTTAATCCAGAATATTCCCTCAACTTCCTCAACATTCGTTGTTGTGCTTGGTGTAGTGTAGTGGGTAAGGCCTCCGCCTTCTACGCGGTAGACTGGGGTTCAATCCCCGCCTGGATAAACACCCTACACTATACCAATAAGAGCCCCTGAGCAAGACTCCTAACACTACCTTCGCCTACCGGTGTAAAAATGATCAAATTGTGAGTCGCTGTGGGTAAGAACGTCTGCCAAATGCCATAAATGTGAGCTTCTGTTAAAATAAAACTTTTAAAATAAATTTTGGTGAAAATGTTAGTCCACCAAATCTGCCTCAGTACTCAGAACACAACAAACACTAAGGAGAACATAAATATCCAAGCTCTACAATTTTATTTAAATATGTTGTTTACCACTATGGCCAAGTTAGAATTTTGAACAGCTAAGTTAACTGAACAACTTCTTACATTCAGTTATATGAATTTTTCTCATGTTCAATAAATTTAAATGATTTAAAATTTAAAATATTTAAATAAAGTCAGAAATTTTAATTCTTTCAGGTGTTTCTTTGTCATCAGAAGAAGGTGGTTTGGAACCCCAGCAGTGCCACAGCTGTTTTTACTGTGTAGCAGCAGAAATTACTCAATTGTTGGACTATTAATGTCTTTTAAGCCCAAAAAAGTTGAGCGGCACTGTCGCTACGTTCACTCTGAATGATGGTTCAAGTGCAGTGAAAAACAACACATGAATTCTGATCCAACTGTTCTCATTAAGGTCGCATGGCCACAAATCTGATATGTATTTGATCGAGGACCACATATGACAGGCAACGGTCACATTATCAGACTGAAGTGGCAGAAATGTGATTTTTTTTTTGTCTTAATGTGACACATACTTGATATTTTCAGAGTTTGTGGACACAAATCTGATCATTTCAGATCTGAGCCACTTTGGCCACAGATTACAAGCCTCATTGCTCAGTTCAGATTTTTTTTCCTCAGATCCGATCTTTCCAACTTGATTCAGTTCATTAATATGAACGAACCCGTCCCGAAATGACCCACATACGCACATCCTAATTGATAACATCACCCAAATGCACCACAAGCGTCATGAATAACAAACAAACTGTTTGGAAAGATCAGATTTGTGTCCACATAAGCAGGAGCCTAATTATCACAGAGCAGATCAGGTGTTTCATGAATAAAAGCATATGTCTTTAGGTCTGTCTGAGTGTGCCGGAGAGGACTGACAGCTCAGGTAAGCAGCAGTACAGCTGTGTGTCCAGTGCGGGTCACTCACGCAGTGGGGGCAGCTCCACTTCCCCTCCGGGGCTTTCTCCAGCTCCGGGTCGAGACACACCAGGTGATAGGCTCTGGGGCAAGTGTCACACAGAATAATCTCGCCCCCCTGCTGACACACCTCACAGTAATCCTGATGATCCGTCTCGTATCCGTCTCCATCCTCTCCTAACGGGGAAAACCCAGAGTTCATCTTCAGAGACTTCAGAACGATTCGATTATGAGCCTTTAGGAAACGATTCATTGTATTTTGCACTTCATCACAAGTCTATTAGATTATTATTTAAATATTATAAAAATAAATAAACACATAAATGTGACTGGAGGAGTTATTTACAGAGTAGTGGGATATAGACCAAAACAAAAAACTAAATAAACAGGCATTAGAACAAAAAAGTAAAAAATAGCCTGAGAATTTTGCCAAAATGTTGCTGGTTTAGCCCAAAAATTACTATTTGCTTTTTCTAAATATTATTATAATTGATTCTGCTGTTCCAAAACTGATGCAATTGAAAAGAATAACAGCTGACACATAATGATAAACACATTTTTCCCTAATAAATGTAGTATTAATCATAATATATCATTGATATTTCTTGTCCAAAGCCCATTTGCAACAATGTAGAAAAGAAAAAGAAAATTCTTGAAAGTTGTTATAATGTGTTTTGGAATAAAACCCTTCATTTGTTGTTCGCCCACAATGAGACATTGTACACATTAGATACAATGAGATATGTTGTCACAATAATAATAAACGTGTTATAGACTTTGAGTACAATGTAAGCACTCATCTCAGCACACACAGAAACTTTACATTCACACACAACCAAACATTAAACAAACAAGAAAAAAATTCAACAAGGGAAAGGAGGAAACGCCTGAAGAGAGGCATCTCTTTACTTTTCCTCTTTTTGCGTCCTCGGCGGGCTTTTTTCTTGGGTGCCCCCGAGGCGTCGGAACGAACAGAGGCACTGTGGATGCTGACATCATCAAAGTCTGAGAAGTCGTCTAAGAAATCCTCCTCGCTCTGTGAAGAGACAGAAAAAAAAATAAAACAATACACAATCTGAGAGACGGATGACAGGCTAAACGGTGGGGCTCCTATACGGGACAGAGTGCAACATGTAATAAAAGTTTGCAACATAGAAACACGAAAAATATACACAAATATAAAACCATACACATAAACTAAGTAGATAACTGAGTCAATGTCACGTGACCCTGAGACCAAAATGAAGCAATGAGCAAATAAGCATCAGGAGCTGCACATTACAGTGATTTACCACAGTTAAGATGTTGTTAGGCACAAATAAGAAAACGCAATAAGGTAAAATACACCAACGTACAATAAAAACTGCTACATATATATTATTAATATTACAGGTAGTAACAAATTAATAACTGCTAAATAATTTAGAGATAGATAGATTCTTTATAGATGTTCAATTTATTAACAACCATCGGTCGAAAGTCAAATTCTCAACAGTGTTGGGGTTCAGCTTAGGATTAGTACCAGGGTTAGACTTAGGACCAGGGTAAGGGTTTGGTTTAGGTTTTGGGTTGAGGTCAAGGTTAGTATCAATTTAATAGATAATTAGTAGAATGTACATTAATTGCAAGATAAGTGTTTACAAAGCATTTACAGTGACTATCCAAATAAAGTGTTACCATATAAGAGAAATGTATTATTAAGCAGTAATAATAATCACACGTTAGTTTTACTGTTAATAATAATATTCTTTCACCAAAAAATGAAGTTTGTTAGCTGTGGTTATTAAGTAAGATATCAATAAAAGATTATCAGCACGGTGGCCTTTAATAACCTGGTGCATCAATACAGAATTCAGTTATCAGTGTAAAGTATGTGTCATATATGTGCTCATTCAGTACAATGGCTTTGAACACAGCTTAGAACTTCCTATGTATGATATGAATGATATATTCCACACATGGGAAAAGCAGAAAGCACGTCCAGAGTCATGCGGAAGGTTCTCCACGTGACTCAGATTAAGCTGAGGGAAGCCGCTCTTACCGAGGAGGCTTTTTTCCTCTTGCCGCTCTGGCCTGCCTTTGATTTGGGCTTCTTGGCTTTCACTTTCTTTTTCGTGTCCTTCACCGGTTTACTCTTCTTCTTAGCACCAGGCCCTGCAACACAGCCAACTGAGAAGCTCCAGTTTCATGGTTTTAATGCAGACCTTCACCACATTCTCAACAAACAAAGAGCCCAGAATGAGTAGCTGTTGTAGAACCTATTATCGTTGCTGATGCCACACTAACATTTCCCTCTAATTTCAGTCTTACTGGCGTCTTTCAGTTAAAACAAAGAATGAATGAGTAAAATTTACACCGATCAGGCGAAACATTCTGACCACCTCCTTGTTTCTACACTCATTGTCCATTTTATCAGCTCCACTTACTCTATAGGTGCACTTTGTAGTTCTACAGTTACAGACTGTAGTCCATCTGTTTCTCTGATACTTTGTTAGCCCCCTTTTACCCTGTTCTTCAGTGGTCAGGACCCCCATGGACCCTCACAGAGCAGGTACTATTTGGGTGGTGGATCATTCTCAGCACTGCAGTAACACTGACGTGGTGGTGGTGTGTTAGTGTGTGTTGTGCTGGTACGAGTGGATCAGACACAGCAGTGCTGCTGGAGTTTTTAAACACCTCATTGTCACTGCTGGACTGAGAATAGTCCAGCAACCAAAAATATCCAGCCAACAGCGTCCTGTGGGCAGCATCCTGTGACCACTGATGAAGGACTAGAGGATGACCAACACAGACTGTGCAGCAGCAGATGAGCTATCGTCTCTGACTTTACATCTACAAGGTGGACCGACAAGGTAGGAGTGTCTAATAGAGTGGACAGTGAGTGGACACAGTGTTTAAAAACTCCAGCAGCACTGCTGTGTCTGATCCACTCGTACCAGCACAACACACACGAACACACCACCACCACGTCAGTGTTACCGCAGTGCTGAGAGTGACCCACCACCCATTTCCATGGTTACACCATGTTTACGGTACACCCGTTTCCATGGTTACGTTCCATGGTTGTGCTACATTCATTTCTATAGTTACACTAGACCCAATTACATGGTTATGCTACACTTATTTCCATGATTATCCTATACTTCCATGGTTACACCCTAGACCTATTTCCATGGTTACGCTACACCCATTTCCATGGTTACACTACACCCGTCTCCTTGGTTCTGCTACTCATGGTTATGCTAACAGCTCATGGTTACGGTAGACCTGTTTCCATGGTTACACTGCATGGTCATGCTACACTCATGACTCAGGTCATACTACTATAATTTCCATGGTTACACCACACCTGTTGCCATGGTTACGCTAACAACTCATGGCTATGCTACACTCATTAACATGGGCACACCCTACAACTATTTCCATGGTTAATCTACATTAATTTTCTTGCTAGACTCAATTACACTGTTACGCTACACTGGTTTTCATGGTTATTACACTACACCCGTTTCCACAGTTACACTATGAGTAATGCGTTCCAAGACGTGCACCATTATTGGGTAAATGCGATTATGGTGAAGATGAAGAGGCAAAGAAACGTTTCAAAACTATCCAGCAGAAAAAGAGAGAGATTTTACAAAACGATCCCTTCCACCGCTCCCCTGGCATCTGATACCAAAACTACACCCCTCGTCATAACATCTTAGAAACAACCCTGACCTGATATCAAAAAGCCTCAGAGAAACAGTGCTGACCACTAAACACTACCTGTACACTGCTGAGCAACTGAACCTGGACAGAACTGTTTCCCCGAGTCACTGGCACACTTTCCACAATGAAAATAGCAAAGAAAAGACAACTCACCCTTCCCCTCTTTGGTTTTGGCTTTTTTGATTGGCCCCGTTGGAGAAAGTTGCTGAATACTGCTAAGAGAGATGGGAGGGGCCACGTTGACCGTTTCCACTGCAGCGGCCACAGCGGCAGCCACGGCCGTGGCGGAGGAGCCTTTGAACGGGTTGTTGGCGCTGAACTCCCTCCATTTGGCTCCTAACACTGTCATCATCTTGGACATTGGGATTTTAGGGTTCTTCTTGGCAATGAGGGGCCTGACCGCCATGTAAAACAGAACGGTTGGCAATAAAACAGCGTGAAAGGACTCTGGTAATTGAATGGTTTACATGTCACGTAATAAACAATAACGTACAAACTGGCAAACCTGCTGGATGCTATTCTACCAGGTTTGTGCACAAGTGAATCTACGCAAGCAAATATCTGAGAGAAACTAAGACCAAGAGAAATACATTTCGCTGTTGTCGGAAGAAAACCTCGTATCTCCAAAATGAGTTCACAGGAAAAGGAAAAAACCTACTTCACTTTTAATGTAAGTCAATGGAACCAGACTTTTTTCCAAGTCTTTTTGGGCCGTTTCTTTTGGTCCATTCATCATTAAATGTACACACAAGGTAAAGATCAACAGGCACTTTCAAATTATGTCAAAAACTGAAAAACGACAAAAAATGGAGACACAAGCTTTTCTTCCGACAGCAGCGATATTATAGTTTTCTTCAACTGTTCAACCACCAACACACAAAACCTGATACTCCAGACTGAAATCCCCAAATCTTTTCTTCAATTACCAAAAGGAAAACTCTCCTGCCAAAAGGTCAAGCAATGATCTCTTGATAAACACAGATTGCAGAACTCCTAAACACTTTATTGCCTAACAGTAAACAAAGTCCCACTGCAAAGCACAGTGAGCCTCATGCCCTTGCTCTCATGCAGAAAGCTCTGCAATACAATACACAAAAACTCCAGTCCCGATAATCAAACACAGATAGCACCCTGTTGTGGTGGTTGCAGAGACGAGGGAATTGTAATGTAGACCGAAAAACATTGAAAACATTTGGTGAAATGGAAACCAAAGTCGAGCAAAACCCAGAAGAAGAGCTGCTCGATAGAGAAGGTGGCCAAGGAACGTTTAAAGAAGAAGAAGACAAGGATCAAGACAATGTACTGCTCTGATGAGCAGGAGAGACAGGGAGACTGAGTGTTTCTTTATGGGTGAATCGATAGGAAAGTGTAACTCCACCAACTCACCGCCCCTCATTTAACACGAGGAGGTGCTGCCTTCACTCTGCAAAGCCTTTGGCCACAATATTGTGAAGTTACCTGGTATTAATGCCACTTTAATGTTGTAATTCTACGACTTTTTTCTCGAAATATTACGACTTTTTTCTCGAAGTCTATTTTTCTTTTTATTAACAGTGGCCCTAAAACGCCGTCGTATCCAAAACACTTGTGAAGATCTGATGATAAAGCAGTGCATAATGAAAGACAACAAAGCGTAATAAAAGAAGCAGCTTCTATTAGAACGACCTGAGAAACTGGCTGAAAGCCTTGTAGTTGGTGATGGTTTTGTAGTCGTCCTCAGAGAAGGCGTACTGCACGTCCTCCAGACCCCATTCCTCCATCAGCTGGCTCGAAGACTTGGGCTCCTGAAGGTCAAAAGAACAACAAAAGGAGCTCTGAAGTCGCCACCAATGCAGTACTGTGGAACTAGACTGAGGTTTGGTGGACTAACACTGCATTACCTTCATATTTCCATCATCATCATCGTCGTCGTCATCATCGTCATCTTTTTTTCTCCACTTGGCTTTCTTCTCCTTCTTCTCTTTGGGCTTCTTCTTTTTCTTCTTCAGTGTGCCGTAACTGCTGCTCTCGCTCTCTGACCGGTGTCCACGATCGTCCCTGTCCGACATGTCCTCACGCTCACCAACGCTGGCCTGAGGACACATGGATGAAGAGACACTTATACATCACACCACAGTTTTTCCTCTGGACCTCACGTGTCGTTGATCAGCCAAGACGGGTTTGATGGCACATCACAGAAAATTGCATATGAATTTTGCTGTTATTTCTTTTTAAAAGTTTGAAATGTTTAGATACAACCGCTTAGAGCTTCTTTAAAGGGAAAAAAATTTTCTTGCTTTTTTTTTTAAATGACTTTAATAATTTTCAACAAAGTGTACCGTTTACTTCATGTAGCTCATATAGTCTATTAGGCATCAATCAATCAACCTTTATTTTCACTCAGAAAGACACTGAAGGTGCTTCATTTTCAATGCAGCAGAGCATTAACATTGCAAAGCGACTGAAAATAAAATAAAATGGTATTTAATCAGTTTAGGCCAAAATGAACAGAATTACACGAACATATTAACAGTAAAATCAAACAAAATGAAACAAGATTAAAAGGGAAAAAATAAGAGAACAATTAAAATTGAATTAATAAGGGGAACAATAAAATAAACTAAGACGACACATTTCAACATAATAGAATAAATAAGGCAAACTAAAATTTAAAAAAGTCAAGTAAAAGGATGGCAAAAAGTAATAAAATAGCTAGCAGGGTGATTCTCCACTATATGACAGCCTTAAGCTACCGATGTTGGAGCTTTTTCCAGTACTAACATGGTCCGAGTCCACACACAGACTGTGGACAAACACAGCTTGTAACAGACATTCAGGTAGGCATACTGTAAATCATTCAGTAAATGTTTCAATGGAACTCAACAGGATTCAGCTTTTAGCTCATTAATGTCGTCTGCCAAACTGCTTAGGTTAAGTATGAGATGCTTCCATGCCTTTTATTTCACACACAGAACGTTTCTGACTGCAAACTTAAGTGTGTTTGTGAAACTGAGCATTTTTTGGTGGATGGGATGTGAATTTACACCTTTCTAAAAGGTAAAAAGTTCTCTGGCTGCTCCTCCTTCTGCCGTGCTGCGGCTGTTGTGATTGTTTAACAGCTTCGGTCAGCAGAGGGTCCGAATCATGTGATCAGAGCATAAGAGCGCAGTGGGAGTTTGTGAAAGTAGAGCTGTGTGTCTAAGAAATCTCAGATAAATCTGCAGCTTGTTTGACTAAACTGCAGTGATGGTACTTCAGTGTGTCCACGGTTACATTACCATGCATGTTAAACATTGCAGTATATCAAATTACAGAATGCCATGCATGTTTATAGTTCATATGAGGAAACTAAGCCACAAAAACTGTTCTGAACTCATTATTTTAGTGATGTCACACACATGGCCCATTAGGGCTGCAACAAACGACTTTTCTGATAGTCGAATAATTTATCGATTATTGAAACGAATGATCGATTATTCGGATTATGAATCGCTCAATTACCAAATGTCTCTTATGTAGCGGTCAGCTTTTAAATTTAGTTTGAGGCTGTTTTACGCATTTGCTAACTAACAATGAAGACAATAAAGATGAATACCTCATTCAAAATACCACTGTTTTAATTAACTTTCCAGATAATACAAAAGATTAATAAAATGATATATTTTCCTGTCAAAATTTAAAGTCAAGGATGGGCGAAATAGCAGCAATAAAATGTAAGAAAACTAAATCAGTTCCCTTAAACACACCAACAGGTTCTCTGTGCTTCACCAGTCACATGACCATATCTACACAAACATCACACAGACAATACACATCACACAGACATGAGTGTGGGTCACTGCGTTCCCTCCGTTATATAATCCTATCCCCCTTTCTGAGAGTAATATTCCTGAAATAGTGTAATTTTTGACAGTATCTTACTTAAACAGCCGCTCTGTCATGGTACTAAATGCAGTCCAGCAACGATGTTGACCGCCCCAGAATGGCGGTGCTGTTGACGGGCCTGGCTGGACCCAACTCAGCGTTTATGGCTACATTTACACAGCAGGTAAAAGTCTGATCTTTTTCTCCATGTGTGACACAGATGTGTGTCTGTGTGTCAGTGTGAACAGATAAACACACTGAATCTGACATTTTTGATTCTGATTTGAGACGCTTTCATATGTGGTACTGAAATCTGATACGGATCAGATCTGTGGCAATGCGACTCAGTCTGAACAGCCAGATCGGAACTCATGCGACTTTTATGTCAGTCCAACTCGACATTCATCATAATTTCGCTGCTGAGACTCATAAACATTTAGTCTGATGTTTCTGTACAAAAATTAGAAGAGACTCATCAAACGGCTCCTTGTTCGAAGAGGCTGCAGCGTCAAAGAACTGTTTAAAGAATCCGAGGACACGAACCAAAGAAGTGGCCGTGGCCGAATAACGAGCCCTTTGTACGGCAAACTCGAACACATTCTGGGTGATGAGTCCAGCTGTCATTGGAACTTTATAATCGCTCCTGTGATGCTGGCGAAGACGAAGCTGAAAGCTCCGGGAGCGACTGGCGTTCACTGGCCGTCATGACTGTTTACCTCTGGACGAGCACGACACGTGAAGCTCTGTTCTTTTGTGCATGAAGGTCAGTTTAGGAGCTGATCTGTTCAGACTGATGTCGCATACAGATCACATTTAAAAGATAATGTGAACAGCCAAACAAAAGAGTCAGATTTGGTGAGAAAATCAGATTTGGGCCTCTTTTACCTGCTGTGGTAAAAACGAAGCCTATGAGCAACACAATCTCCAGCCATGTTCTCTATGAACCGTTAAATTTGAGTGATTTTGTGTAAACACTCAATTTCAGCAGTAACCCTTCGTCCAGCTGCCCTGTACGTTCGCGGAGAAGCACCTCCTGAAACTGCCTGTGAGTGATGGCAAACATTAGTGGAGAACTCACGGCAAACAGAAAACTGTATGCAACGGTTTGGAAACTGTGTTCACCGAATTTGAATGCACCAGTGCCCTCGGCGTTAATGCAGTGTTTAAAGCTGTAAACATTTTGTTTATTATCAACAACACTTCTAAAAAAAGAAAATGATTCTATATGGAACCACGAACAGTCAAAGAACCCTTAGCATTATTAAATGTTCTTTACATTGTGAAAGTGTTCTTTAGATTAATGTTCTTCAGAAAGTATTGCAGATGGCTCTATATAGAACCTTTTTGAAGAGGCTTCTATGCAGCTCCAGAAAGGACGCTGTCAAGCTTGTAACAATATAAGAACCCTTTTTGGTGCTATGTAGAACCATCTACTACAAATTCTCTATCAATCTGAAGAACCGTTTCACCGTGCAAATCATGCAAAGGGTTCTTTTGAGGGTTCATGGTTCTATATAGAACCTTTTCTTTTACTAAAGAACCCTTGAAGAACCATCTTTAAGTGTGAATGTTGATATGGTTTAAGTGGGGAAATTGAACCTAATCATACGGAGCCTCTGAGCTGCTTTTAGACGAATTAGACAAATAAGAAGCAACCAAACATCCGTGTGCTGTGACATCACAACCACAAATAACTGGCAGCCTTTTGGTGAGACAAAAAAAGAGGATATGCTGGTTGTCTTAGGCAAAAAAGGGCCCAAACATCAGTTTAAAACACTCACAATTTAAATATCGCAATACTGGTCAGAAAAATCACAATCAGATATTTTGGCGAAATCGCTCAGCCCGACTTCTCGACCGGCCCTGTTTGGACTGAAGTGTGCCGAAGTTGAAGCCTGTTGCTCGGTTGCTTTGCAGCATCTGTACATCTCAGTGGAAGGTGCAGGGAAGCCGCTGCTGCCGCAGAGCACGCAGCCCCACCAGCAGTCCATCTGTGTTGCCATGGTAACCAAACTGTGCAGTGCTGTTGTTGCTGTCTCCTCTCTCTCTCTCTCTTTCTCTCTCTCTCTCTCCCTCTTTCTCTCTCTCTCTCCCTCTTTCTCTCTCTCTCTCTCTTCCTCTCTCTCTCTCTCTCTCTCTCTCTCTCTCCCTCCCTCTCTCTCCCTCTCCCTCTCTCTCTCCCTCTCTCTCTCTTCCACTGCTGCAGCAGCCAATGGAACATCGCCACCCAATCAGACGCGTTTGCATAACGAGCTTGTTTTGCAGAGGCTCCGTGGATGCAGTGCCTGTGTTCTAAAGGGCTGTCTAGACAAATCTCATTTACGCAGCCAGCGAGAGAGAGAAGAGAGAGTGAGTAAGAGAATAGAGAGAGAGAGAGAGAGAGAGAAAGGGAGAGTGGGGGAGAGAGAGAGAGAGAGAGGGAGAGAGAGAGAGAGAGAGAGAGAGAGAAGAGAACAGAGAGAGAAAGACAGTGGAAGAGAGTGAGTGAGAGAATGGGGAGAGAGAGAGAAAGGGAGGGAAGGGGGGAGGGGGAGAGAGAGAGAGAGTAATGAGGAAAGAGGGAAAGGAGAGCAAGTGTAAGTGAGAGAAGAGAGAGAGAGTGAGTGAAAGAGAAAGAGACAGGGAGAGAATGGAAAGAAAGAAAGAAAGAAAGAAAGAAAGAGAGTGAGAGAGTGAGAAAGAAAGAGAGAGAGTGAGTAAGAGAATAGAGAGAGAGAGAGAGAGGAAGGAGGAGAAAGAGAGAGAAAGGGGGAGAGAGAGGGCGGAAGAAAGAGAGTGAGCAAGAGAATAGAGAGAGAGATGAAGGGAAGGAGAGAGAAAGAGAGGCAGAGAGTGAGTGAGAGAATGGGGAGAGAGAGAAAAAGGGAGGGAAGGGGGAAGGGACAGAGAGAGTTGGGAGAGAGAGATCAATGAGGAAATAGGGAAAGGAGAGCAAGTGTAAGTGAGAGGAGAGAGTGAGTGAAAGAGACAGGGAAAAGAAAGAAAGAAAGAAAGAAAGAAAGAAAGAAAGAAGGAGAAAAAGAGATGTAGAGTGATGTAGAAAGAGAGAGGAGAGCAAGAGAATAGAGAGAGAGAGAGAGATAGAAGAGGAACAATAAACGAGAAGACAGAGAGAGGGAGTGAGGGAGGGGGAAGGGGAAGGGGAGAAAAAGGCAGAAAGAGAGAGAATGGGAAGAAAGAAAAAGTAAGGAAAAGAGAATGGGGAGAGAGAGAGATAGAGAGAAGAGAG